GCAATCTTTTGGGCACCAGGAACCGGTTATGTGGAGAGATGTTTTTCCATGGACCGGAGGGTGTGTGGTTTTATGTGCTGCCTGCATCCTATGGATGGGGCTTTCCTTGTTTGTGCAGACCGGTTTCTGGCATTGCTGTGGACTGGTACTGGTCCACGGACTGGGACTTGGGGATCCCTGTTCTAAAGAAATGGTGGGAAGGAGCCAGGCTGGCAAAAGAAAAATCAGATTTGGAAATAGGCTGGACTCTGGAGAGGAGAGGCCAGCAGAAATAGGTGGGGGTGGAGAGTAAGTTAGAATGCAATTCAATCCTCAGCCCTCCTGGCCAGGGGACCCACTGCAGTGGGTTGCAGCCTGCCTGAGTTGTCTGTGCATCCGTACATGTACACACGTAGGTCCGGTTGGTAAAGTGGCTGGAAAGAATTCCGCCAGCCACGTTCTGCACACTTTCCCTACCTTGTTTGATGCCTGGCTTTGCCTTCCAGGTGTGGCCACAAAGAAGCCGTCTTTTTCCAGTCTCACAGCGCGAGGGCTGAGGTGAGGAAATGGCTTTTCAATGTGGGGTAGGTGAGTGGTTAGTTATTTCACCTTAGGATTATATCACTCTGAAATGCCCTGAGGGATGATGGGCCTTTGCTGCTTGTAGTCATAAACCTGGATATCTTTGGAGCCCAGCACGGCCTGCCCAGGAGTCTGGCAAAAGGACTGTACCCCAACTCATCTAGAGAACACCAGGTCAGAAAGTTGATTTAGGAGCCCGCTGGAGATCTGGAGAGGCCCTTTGCTTCTCTGCTTTCTCAAGGGACCATCTCTGCAAGAAGTGACGTCTGGAATCACAAAATCATGGTTGCCTTTCTCACCCCCCCCCCCGTTTCTTTCCCAGGATGCCATGCGCCTCTACTATGTCTGCACAGCCCCCCACTGCGGTCACCGTTGGACAGAGTGAAACCCTGCCAGACCTCTTCCTGTCTCCCGGCCACCGATGACTTCCCCACTGCGATTCTCCGCTATTTATCTGTTCAGCCTGTCTGAATTGTCCTTTGCTCTAATAAATGGTTTATTTTTTACAGAAGACTCCAGCCTCGTGCGTGGGCGACCTCAGCAGAATGATATTGTTTGTGATTTAGGCTTCTAACTCAGCAGAAGGTGCAACTGAGCCCGAAAACCAGCTGCCCCTGGTTTGGGGAAGTCGTCCCAAGGTAGGCAGGGGCGGAGGGCTCCTGGCAGGTGTGCCTGTGGTACTCGTCGCTGGTGCTGCAGGTGAAGCCACACCCCTCGCAGACAAAGAGTTTGGCCCGGCGCTCCCGGTAGCCATAGATCTGGGGGAGGCGGTGGATCTTCCTCAGGTGTGACTCCAGGGAGCAGCGCTGCGTGAAGCCCTTGTCGCCGCAGAGGCAGCAGCGGTACGGGCGGATGCCTGCAGGCAGCGACACACGGCATTGGCAAAGGTCCTTGACTTAACGACCGTGCGTTTAGCGACCGTTCAAAATGATAAAAGCACTGAAGAAAGGGAGTTATGACTCGCATTTACGACCGTCAACGGCCTTCCCCAAAGTCGCAGGGTCCAAATTTGGGCCTTTGGGCAACTGGTGTGGATTTCTGAGGATTGAAGTGTCCTGAGGTCACGTGATCGCCATTCATGACCTTCCCCACTGGCTTCCAACAAGCAAAGTGGGTGGGGAAAGCTGGATTCACTTAATGACCACTTAACTGCAGTGATTCGCTTAACAACGATAGCAAAAAAAAAAGATTGTTGTCAGGCATAGATCAAATAACAACGGCCTTGCTTAGCAATGGAAATTCTGCTCCTGGTTGTGGATCGGCCACAATCCTAAGGGGGAGCCCCAGTGACGAACCACTTTTTTTAGTGCCCCTGTAACTTGGGACGATGGCTAAATGAATGGTTGTAAGTCGAGGACTTGCTGTAGCAGAGGTGAATCCCTTTCCCTCCCTATTTCCCCTTGCCTGCCGGCCCTCACCTGTGTGCGTCCTCAGGTGCCTCTTGAGGTCAAAGGTGTCGTTGAAGCCTTTGCTGCAGTAGCTGCACCGGTGCTTCTTGACAGGGCTGTGGCTCTTGCGGTGGCGGTTCAGCATGCGCTGCAGCGGGAAGCGTTTGCTGCAGACGGAGCACTGGAAGTCTGCCTGAGTGGGGAGACCCATGCCCTGAGGGAGAGAGGGAGGGAGGAATAGTGGATGGAAGGAAGAAAAAGAAGGGAGGGAGGGAGGGAGGGAGGGAGGGAGGGAGGAAGGAAGGAAGGAAGGAAGGAAGGAAGGAAGGAAGGAAGGAAGGAAGGAAGGAAGGAAGGAAGGAAGGAAGGAAGGAAGATGTGTCCCCATCTACCAAAAGAATTATGGGCAACAAACCAGGATAAAAAGATAATACAACTACCAAAATCAATTTGGGGAAGGGGAAAAAAGGCAAGACCAACAGCAGGCAGACAACGCAGGCAGTCTCAAGACTCTCATCCTTGGCTTATGAAGATTGCTGAAGTCCCAAATCCAGTTTTCCTGGTGTGTGTATGTCTGTGTGTGTTTCATTTTGAACTGCCCCTTACCTGGTTGCACAGAGGCGGCTTCTCCGCAGCAGGGGGCTGCGAATAAAGCAGGCTTTGGGGAAAGCGGTGGGGGTCTCCTCCGTCCCACTTGCTCTGGCTGCTGATGCTGAGCACTGCGGGGTTGACGAGGGCCTGGGCCACACAGGTCTCTTCGGAGATCAAGACAGCCAACAAGGATGTTATTTTTAGTGACTTTTGCAAGTACAGGGACACAACACACTGAACAAATGTCTCAGTGGCAGAACCTTTGGGCTCCATTGTGGTCGTAAGTCGAGGACTATCTGTAGGGGACTCGGCCATCTCCAGGAATATGCTAGGAAGAGAGCTGGAGACCTGACAGCCAGAGAGTGGGATAACTTGGTCTCTTGCGCCTCTTCCTCTCTCCCATGGCAGTTCTTCCCCAACTGGGTGCCCTCCAGATGTGGGAGTCCCTCATTCCCATGATCCCCAGCCAACATGACCATAAGAGTCCCTGCCCGGAAAGATGCCATTCAAGAGCTTCACCTACCTGGGACATACAAGTCTCCCCGGAGCTGGTCAGAGAGCTCCCCCCAGTTCCGTCTTCTTAGCTGTGCCGAGTTACGACGTTTTATCAGAAAGGACTTCGGCATGGCTGGTCGGATGCCAGGTTTGGGTTTCAGATGGACCAACACGTTGAACACGGTGATGATGACCAACCATGGAAGGTCCTTAAAGTAGACACTTCATGGCCAAGAAGAAGAAAATATCCTTTATGGTGTTTGCCCCCCTTCCTAAACCTTGAGTTTCTTCTGTATCGACTTATTTCTTCTTGTAAAAGAATGAGTATCAGAGTTGAAAGGGACCTTGGAGGTCTTCCAGTCCAACCCCCACAATTAGCAAATCTCCAGTTCGAATTTACTTCCCAATAAAAGTCTGACCTATAATTTCAAACAAGTTGAAGAGCCAGGATTATCAATATACCCTAAAAAAAAATAAAAATGCAAACCGTTGCTTCTTTCTTTCCAAACCATGGACCCCAATTCCTGCTTCTAACCCCCACCCCAGCTCCCAGCAAGAATAGGAAGGTCACTCCCGAAGTGACCACATCAATTGTCTTATCATCCAGCAAAGTCCAAAATCTCAACACCATTCCGATGAACTGGAATGAGTCTGTGGGTGGGCTATTTAAGAGCAACTCTAGATGTGCTGGCAATTTGCATCTAAATTGGGGGTGGGGGATTATCCCATTGCATCTCTTTTGCATATTGGGTGCTTCTAATGTACAGATCTACATCTGCTTGCATTCAATCTATGCAAATCTTGCAATTTAACTCTGGAGGGCAGAGTTAAGGTCAGTTATCCATCTCTCTGGTTCCCACCAGGACAAGAAAGTCATCTTCAAAAGCAGCAACAGAATCTGAATATGAGAAGACCAGCTAAGCCTTCCACCACTTGCAGCACAACAATCCTGTGAGGTAGGGCAGGCTGGACAGGGAAAATCCTCAAACACAGAACATTTGATCATATAACAGAAAAAATGTGACTTAATTCAGTGTGCAATGGAGACCCAAATCTTTGCATTAGCAGTGTTTGTCAATGGACTTCAACTCCCAGAATTCCTCAGCCAAAGATGCAAGAAGGATCTCTTCTTCAATGGTCATCTAGCTGACCCTAGCCATACACACGCTCTTCTACTGGGCTGGGAATAAAAGTTGGCTTGGGCCAAACATTGGGAAAAAACAAAGCCAAATTTTGCTTGCAATCAAATTGGGCCTCCCTGGATATGATCTCACAGTCAGTATGAACCCAGTGGATCTCTGGGTTGTTATTTGGGGAGCCCGTGTCCCCGAGATTTTTCTTCCACCCAGCCTTTGTGCTGCTTTGCACTTAAAAGCAAACAGGTCTCTTCAAACAGCACCAGATTTCCATGTTTGCTGAGTGCTCTGATTTGAATAAACCTGTTTCCGTGGTCAGGTTTCTGAGCGGTGTAATTTTAATGCGCACATCCTTTTTTTTGATTAACAAACCACCCTGGAAAAGGCTCACCTGCAGCTTGTGCAACCGTTCCCTGGATGGAGCTTTAGGCAAGCCCAATCGGAAGAAGCCCTCTGCTTCCCATGGAGCCCTCCCTCCATTCCTCGAACCAAGTGGCTGCAGGAATACAATCCTGCCTCATCCTAAGCTTTACTCAGTGTTTCTCAAACCTTGCAAGCTGGAAATGTGTGGACTTCAACTCCCAGAATTCCCTCGTCAGAAATCCAAAGAACTTCAGCAGGCATGGAGCTGAAATCCTTCGGCAGGCAGCTTTCAGTCGAATCCAAGCAGGGTTTTCAGCCCGGATCAGAGATCCACTTATGTGTGGCCTGTGTTGGGCTTCTCAGTGTCTCCTCCAACCCCTCCCCCCTCCACTCCTTTATTATAGCCTCTTGGATCTTCGCTCCTCTCTCTGAGGTTCATGCATGACCAATTCAGTCTGCCCCTCTCTTTCAAATCCAAAAATATTTTATTATATTTAAAACCTTAAAAATAAAAAATAGTAAACTGTTACAAAGCTGTGCTGCAACCCGAGTTTAAAACAACACCATAGGAGACTTTCAGGATGCCCTTCTGAATATTATCTGTCTTTCTTTAAGTCTTATAAAAACATTGTTGTTTTTTTTCATAAAAGGATGAGTTAAAACCTGGCCAAACTGTCAGCGTGTCTGGGCAAACCGTCGAACTTTTCCTATGGATGTGAACAAAGTGCTAAAGGCAAAACGTGAATTGGTGCTCTTGTCGAATGGCCAGCTCCTCAGGAGTCACACCAAAACGAACTTCCATGCACGACAAATGTGTGGAAGGGCAGGAATGGAGCCCTTCAAGGCAGGCTGGTTTTCTGGGCCTCCTCCAGCTTCTTCTGAACCAGGTTCAGCAGCGAGTCAGAGTAATGCTTCAGGAGCGCGTGGGCCTCGCCCTCCTGGAGGCAGCTCGGCCAGAAGGACGAGGGGTCTGTGGCAGTGGCTACATCGGCGTTATCCCTGCTGTCTCTCTTCGCCAGTTCACTCTTCATCCAGCAGAATGTGCTAGAAAGCCTGTGCTTGGCGTGGGTGAGCTCCTCCGGGGTCCCATCGGTGCAAGAAGACACCTGAAAGATTGGAACGCATTCTGGCACTGCCACCTGCCTATCCCCAGGAAAAGCCTCTCTCTCCTTCCGCGGTGTCATTACAAAAATAAAACCCCAAAGTAACTGCAGTGGAAATAGGAGCAGGGTGTGGTCAAGATGGCTGTGAGATTAAAAGCTCTACTTTTTTTTCAACATGTGCTGCCATCTTTCATTTTTTGATCACACCGGGATAGGAGCGAGGATAAGAGTAGTATGTTAGAATTTAACACAGAGGGGTCCAACCTTGGTCACTTTTAAAACTTATGGACTTCAACGCTCAGAATTCTGTGCTGGCTGGGGAATTCTGGGAGTTGAAGTCCATAAGTCTTCAAGAGGCCAAGGTTGGACATCCCTGATGTCATTTTAGCACATTTTAGGAACCTGGCACACCCATCCGAGTAAAGCTCCATCTTTCTTTTTTCGTAAAATGCCGGAGTCTCCCCCCTTACCTTATCATACAGTTGCAAAGTCTCTTGAAATTTGAGGTGTAGAGCCTGCAAGCTCAACTCAAAATTTTTGACGAGACCCTGAATTTCTGAGAACAGAAGGGAAAAATAATTATAACAACAATAACAAAAAAGAAAATTCCCTGTTTGGAGATTTACCAAGGCGGGGGAAAAGACCAAAATCCAGCTGACTGGAATGCCCCCGACTGCATTCTTTTCAAGGGACAGGTAAATTGCTCCAGATGATTCCTCTGCAGGGCATCTACGAGGGACAGGATCAACCCATTTTATCCCAAGAAAAGAAAAGAAAAGAAAAGAAAAAAGAAAAGACAAGAAGGGTGGCTCCAACTACTTACCTGTTCGGTCGACATTCTTACCTGAAACGCAGGATGTTTTGGCATCGGGGCTTCCTTTCAGCTCCAGCTGGATTTCTGCCGGAGGTTTCTAAAAACCAGGCGTTTCACAGAGGTTAGAGAGCAACTGAGCAGGTTTGAGGCCAGCACCTTCGTTTCTCTATCAAGTCAGGAGTGCTGGATGGGGTGCCTTGTTCCACTGCTGAAGATGTTCACACTGTCCCACATTAGAAGACAACGAGCTCTCATTCAGCTACGGTCAAGGATGCCTTCTCTATCCACCAGGACAATGCCCAGTTTTAATTTGGAATTTCAGGATTTCGTCTGGGGAATGCCGGCAACATCGTGCTCCATGGTTCCAGGGGTGCTTTTTCAAGAGGCAATTGGACTTTCTTTGTTTTTTCTTCTCATCTTCTTGGATGAGAAGCGAAACGTCTTCAAGGAAAAACCGGTTGCCTCTTGAGAAAAGCCCCTTTGGGACAACGTCATGTTCCATTAATACATGCCACCCATCTAATCGCTGCACAATGGTTTTGTAGGTGGCTATTAAAAGATTCGCAGCCACCAACTTGCCTTGAATTTCGCGAAATCGCTGAGTGGTAAGCTCTCCTCGGTGACGTGTTCGGCGGAGGCTGCCTGCGTAAGCGGACGGACTCGTGGGAAAAATGCAGCCGCAAATCTGTGTTGGAGAGAACAATCTCAGGGCAGGTTTCTAGGTGAAGCATCCCCACAAGCGGAGAGGCGACGTGAAGGGAAGCAGCCCACCTGCAGTTCTTCTGAGCACGCGAGAGAAACTGGGCGGAGATGCTCAGGCGAGGATTCAGAAGCGGGCTCCCCTCATCCTCCCTGTCTTCAAATGGCTGCAGATCTCGGAGACAACCATCAAATTTCTCTGTACACAAAAAAGCAAGGCAGAGAATTTGTCTGAGTGCCAATCAAGAACAGCCTTTATAGCGCAGGGCTGAAAGGAAGGCTCCCTGGTACTCTCTGAGCTTAGTTGTTTTCTTGCGGACGTTTCATGACCCAAGTAGGTAACATCATCAGTGCCAGAAAGGAGTGGGGTTTGCTGATGGTGTTACCTAGTTGGGTCATGTAATGTCTGCAAGAGAGCAACTAAGCTCTGAGAGCACCAAGGACCGCGCCCCCCCAGTCTTCCTCCTCCTTTTTTTCCTCCCCTTCTCCTCCTCCTCCTCTCCCACTCCATAACCCCCCTCCCTCCTAACACTGATCATGCTCCCTAGTTGGGTCATGAAAGGTCTGCAAGAAAGCCAGCTCAAAGAGCACCAAGCATGCCACAATTAGTATGAATCTCCTGTACTCTGGGTATGGGCAGAAACCAAGAGAAAGGACCAATTCTGGACTTGGGAGGCAGGACCTGGAGCATCTTGTTACCTGCAGGACTGTCTCCCTCACAGGGAGTCTGGCTGCTTAGCATAGGTGAACCGAAAAGATATGCTGAAGATGCCCCCATCCTGGCATGAGATTAAGGAGGAGGGCTGCCCCAGCCTGCCTCCTGAGGCTGGGGGTCGGCTCCCCTGACTCTGGAAGGGGCCAAGGGGGTGGCAAGCAGGAGCTGTCAATTCACAGGTCCAGTGCAAGGGGGGTGAGGGGGGTGGGGTTGCTTTCTGTGCTGGCTGGCCTTGGAATTATAGGCCATTACGGGACTCTGACAGGGACGGCACCTGCCGCTGATCTACATGTAAAATCCTGGCAAATGTTCCTGAAGTGGCCCCAGACTCCATGGGCCAGTGGGCCGGTTTGATTCTTCGCCCCTCGGAGGCCCAATTCCATGCTTAAAATCCCTCCCTCTGAGGCTGTAAGAGATGGCCAAGCTGAGCCCAGGCCCTCCCCAGGACCCCTAAGAGACCTAAGTCCACGCCCCTAGTCAACAGTCTGCCGACTCCCCGCTGCTGCCAATTTTCCTTAACCTTTAGTACAGTGGTTCTCCACCTGTGGGTCGGGACCCCATTTGAGGTCGAACGACCATTTCACGGGGGTCGCCAAACAACGCAGTCCGCCATTTCCCCCCCCTTTTCCTTAGCTGTGCTACTCCCTTTTATTCTGTTGGCTTTTGAAAGTCAATAGAATAGACTCTCTGGAATAGAGTCTAACTCTATTGGCTTTCAAAAGCCAATAGGAATGGTCCAGGCTGTCTCTGCCCTGCTGAGCCCGCCAAAAGTCCCGTTCTACAAACGGTGCTGCACCAGTTGAGTAGTCCTCGACTTACGACCGGTTGAGTAGTCCTCAACTTACGACCGGTTGGGGGTCGCGGCATTAAAAAGGTTGAGAACCACTGCTTTAGTAGATCAGATTCTTCTGCACAGGTAACAATAAAAAGAAACCTGGAGGGCTTTGGAACCCTAGCCTGGTTCCCGCTTTCTTGCGCCAGGCCGAGATCGGCCGGGTGTTACCTTCCAGGGGGTCCCCAGCCAGAGTTTCGAAGTGGTGCTTGAGGTATCGTTCCTGCTCCGGCGTCTGGGGCAGCGACCCGTTCTGGGAGAAGTTCTCATCCAGGTGGGCCGTCTCTGCTTCGGCCTCTGCAGGGCGCAAAACCAAGGGTAGGCCCAGGTGCTGAGGGGGGGGGAGGGTTTCTAGCCCGCGTCTCAAGCACCCTTCCTTCATACAGGTAGTCCTCGACTTATGCCCACAATTGAGCCCAACATTTCTGCTGTTCAGTGAAACATTTGCTGAGTTTTGCCCCATTTTACGACATTTCTTGCCACCGTTGTTAAGTGAACCACTGCAGTTGTTAAGTTAGGAACACGGTGGTTAAGTGAATCTTCCCCCATTGACTTGGCTTGCCAGAAGGCGGCAAAAGGGGATCACCTGATACTGCGACCGTCATAAATATGAGCCACTTGCCAAGCATCCAAATTTTGATCACACGCTCCTGGGGATGCCGCAACGGTTGTAAGCATGAAAAGCAGTCGTAAGTCACTTTTTTCAGTGTCGTCATTTCGAATGGTCACTAAATGAAATGATGTAAGCCGAGGACTACCTGTATCTCTCCTGCCGGCCGCCTTCTTCCTCCATCGAGGTGGACTGCGAAGTGTCCCCCTTCTCCCTCACCCTTTTGGGGTGGATGGCAGCTGAGCCCATAATCCCCCTCCTTCTCCCCCACATTTTCCTGAGCGGCTGGACCAGACCGAGAGCGGCTTGGTGTTAATCCATCACTGGTGCAGAAAAAAACCGATTCCTCTTCTATGGCCGCTTCAGATCGCTTTCCTCAACCTGGCATCCTCCAGAAAGAGGGGCCAGCTCCCAGAATTCCCAGCAATGGCTAAGGGAATTGTGGGAGTTGAAGTTCACACCTGGAAGGCACCGGGTGCCTCTTGGGAACTGGGTTGAACGCTACAGGACCTCTAGGACCAGCGGTCGGCCGGCCAGCTCACGAAAAGGACCCACTTGATCCGGTACAAGCTGGGGAGGAATCCACCGTGAGGCCTGTGCAGGGATCTTACCTTCGTGCTGATGCCCAGAAACAGGCAGGTCAGCCTCCAAGGGCGACCCGGAGCAGATGTTCTCTGGCGCCTTGTCTTTGGGGCTCGAAGCTTCCTCCTCGAACACAGGCTGAGGGACTGACCTTTAAAGAGGAAAAAGGGGCTTCTTAACAGTGGATCCCCCCCCCCCGAGAGGGGAATTGAACAGGTGAGGACAATGCAGACTCTCTGCCCCAGAGCTTCTGCCAGGCTCCAGCATGCAACAGGCCTCTTGACCAGCCTTGTGCTTGAGTCCAGGATGGCCTGCACTCAAGAGGGCCGCGCTGGGACTTCTTTCCGAGAACCTCTGCTTGGGGTCTGTGGGAAACGAACCTCTCCCCGAAGGAAGGGCTGCTCTCTGCCTGGGAGACGTAGAGTGTGGTCCCGCTGCCCTCCAGCCCCTGGGCCGTGTCCTCATCGGAAGACAGATTCAGTTGTTTGAAGCCTTCCGTTATGTTGCTGGGAGAATCCTCCGTCTGCTTGGCAAAGCAGAAACATCCCTGTTGTTAAGTCCTTCTCAGGACTAGCCCTTCGCTATGAGGAGGATAAATGCGGGCACTCCTCAACTTACAACAGTTTGTTTAGGGACCGTTCAAAGCTACATCACTGCGTGGAAAACAAATGCGCCCTCTGGGTTCTGAACCACGTTAAGAAAAACCCTCACCAGATCCAAAAGTCCTGCTTTCTCAGACAAGGGGGGGGGGAGAAATCACTCAGCCAAGCAGACCAAACCCCATCCACCCACTCTGTCCACCTCTAAAATCAGCCCGTCCAGACTCCGCTGCTCCAGGTCCGCCTCAGCCAGGCTACGGTTCTGAATCGGGGTGAAGAAACTCAAGTCGGCGTCCAGGATGGTTTTAAGGGGTTCTTTCTCGGCCCGCTCAGCCCAACGGCCCTGGGGCTGGTAGCTGACTCTGGCGTGAAAGGCGTTGCTGTCTGAATGGTCTGCTTCTCCGAGCTGGGAAGGAAGGAAGGAAAGAAGGAGGAGGACAGCCCCGGAGAAGGGGATTCAGAAGACCTGGCTGGTCCTGCCCCACCCAGCTGGAAAAACCCAGCAAAGAGCTGCGTTGAGGGAAGGGCAGAGTCCTAGCACAGGGGTTCTCAATCTTGGCAACTTTAAGACTTGTGGACTTCAACTCCCAGAATTCCTCAGCCAGCAAAGCTGGCTGAGGAATTCTGGGAGTTGAAGTCCACAAGTCTTAAAGTTGCCAAGATTGAGAACCCCTGTACCTAGCAGCTGCCTTCTAGATCAGAGGCCCCCAACCTTTTGAGCACCGGGGGCCACTTCCGTGGAGGAAGGTTTTTCCGCAGACCGGAGGGTGTGTGGTTTTGTGTGCTGCCTGCATCCCACGGATGGGGCTTTGCTTGTTTGTGTGAACCGGTTGCTGGCATGCTGTGCACGGTACTGGTCCACGGACCGGGGGTTGGGGAACCCTGCTCTAGATGGGGGAGACGTCAATGGCTGCCACCCCCCCAAGCCCTGAAGGGCCGGGTTGGGGAAGGCCAGCTAAAGCAGTGGAAGAATCGCAGGCATGGGATTGGGTGCGACCTACCAGTCTCTTTGCCCACATGGGCAGTCTGCCATTAGAGAGGACACAGACAGGAGCTGGAAAGCAGCATGGGAAAAAAAGAGAAAAGCCACGTTAGGATGGATGGGCGGAGAGTGAAGGTATTCAGTGTATGCAAGGAACCCCCTTTGGGCGTTTAATAATCAAAAAATAAGTGTGAAAGTTTACACTACCTGTCTTAAGAAGCTGTGCTCCATAATAACAAAGACAAGGGAGTTGAATTTTTTTCCCCCCAAAAAGAGAAAGTTAAAAGAAATAACAAAACTACAGAGGGATCTTGGAGGTCTTGTAGTCCAACTCCCTGCTCATGCAGGAAATCCTTGACCATTCCGGACAAATGGCTGTCCAATTTATACTAAAAAGGATAGACTGTCAGTATTCCTGAGATGACCAAGAATGTTTCCTTTGTTTAATCAGGAAAAAGGAAGAGGAGGAGCAAAAAGGAAAAATGGCATTTCTGAATTCTTCAGGGATTTAGCAGATGCTGCAGCGGTTTTGCCCAATTTATGAATTCCAAAGCAGTTGGGGTCACAGCTCCCCAAACTGCAGTCCTAATATATTTGAGGGGCTCCAGGGAAGGAAGGCCACATGATAAAGAATCCATGTCTTTTTAGTAGCTCTCGCCCCAGCCCATCTTAGCAGCCCTCCATGATTATTTGTATGTAAGATTTAATCTTTGATTCAATTCACAGTCTGGGACTGGTAAAAACGTAACAGTTCGAGTCCTAACCAAGGACCTTAGAGCTGCTAAGTATATAGGCAGTTCCAAGTAAGGTGGTTTATTATTGTTGTTGTTGTTGCTATATTCACCACACAGATGTTCAGACTGGGTTTGGCATTTTTGTCTACCTATCGAGTCCTTTCCAAGGGCCTGGGAGAGGCAGGTGTGGATGTTGGATGGTGTTAGATTATTATTATTATTAAATTTATTTGCTGCCTATCTCCTGTCAAACGGCTCCGGACAGCTTAAAGGATAAAACATTAACCAAGCATTAAAATCATCAGATGTAAAATGACAAAGCAGATAAAATAAAATTATTGCTAACTCAGATAACGTGGCTTGCCCCAAGACATACCTGAGTCAAGGTCATCTTTAACCGGGGTCTGCAGAGCTAATTCTTCCTCTTCCCCCTCCTCTTCGTCTTCCTCTTCCTCCTCCTCCTCCTCCTCCAGGTCAGAATCAACCGCATCCCGGCGGGGGACTCTTTCAAACATTTCCACCCTGGAAAGGAAGGTTCAAAGCAGTTGTTTCTTTGCACAGCTGGGCCAGAGTTTCTGGACTCAAGAGCACAGGCTGGTCTGGTACCTGACCAAGGGAGGCCATGCAGAGTCTCCGACCTCCTGCTGCACCTGGATCTGTTCCAGGTCCCTCAAGTGCTGCTTCGTGCAAGCGGTAATTTCAGGGCTCAGGCGCCACACAAAGATGCAACTGAAGAATAGAAGGATAAATGCTGTTAAAAATGGGGAGCCCTGCAGGGGTGGGGCCCCCACGCTGCTCCTGCCAGCCAAGATCTGAATTGTGCCCCACAACACAGATAGCCTCATCCCTCAAAACCGGCCACCCCCACCCCCCCATGTGCATTAAATTCTCCCATTGTCCTTCCTGGATCAGCCTGGAATCTCACAAGTCTTGAAAGTTGTACATGCAGAGAGACCAGACCGCCCACCTGTCTCCCGAGACGGTGATCAGATGTTTGCAGTCGAAGGTAAATTTCATCCCCGTGATGACTTCTGCAATGTAGAAGGTGTGAATTAGTGCGCGGTTCTCCTCGATTAGTTTAGATTAATTTGGGTATCACTTGGGTCATTCTTATTCACAGGATAGACCTCTGAGCATGTGCAAAGCATTGGATCAGCCAGCACATGTCTCTGTTGGCTTCATACCGGAGTACCAGAGAAAATCAGAGAAATTCAAAATAGCAAGACCGGGAAACAAACCTGAGTGCCCAAACATTTTGGCCACACATTCTCCAGAGCGGAAGTCGATAATGGAAATGCTTTTATCCGAGCAACTAGTGGCCAAGAATGTTCCAGAAGGATCAAACTGGACCTGCAGAGGGATCAGAAACCAGACTATATCAAATAGTCTCTTTTCTGCAAATTGTCCTATCAGCCAGCCATCCATCCATCCATCCATCCATCCATCCATCCATCCATCCATCCATCCATCCATCCATCCATCCATCCATCATCATCATCTATCTATCTATCTATCTATCTATCTATCTATCTATCTATCTATCTATCTATCTAATTAAGAAACTACCCATCTACCTCACAGGGGAATCTGGACAGTGAACAAATACAATTACTGGCCAAGGGACAGTTAGCCAAATTTTTGATCTTCCCAAGACTCTGGAGACATTAAATTCTAATCTGGAAAAAAAAAATCTCATTGCAAGCAACGACCAATCCCCGATTCTGCCCTGGGGAGACCACATTTTTCTATGCATCTCCTTTACCTTGAGCAGGGATCCATCGTCGCTGTGGGCTCCTTTATAGCAGCCCTTCTGCTTCCCGCTGACCGTGTTGTATATCCTGGAAGGTGAGAATTCAGCTGGGCTCAGTGTGCGACTGGCTCAAGGCAGAAGTCTTATGGGGGGACAGGCCCATTCAGAAGATGCCTCAGTCCCCACTGCACCCCTAGTTTCTTCCTCCCCTAAGACTGGACTCCAGTCCCTGGCCTCCCTTATTTTCTCCACTCAGGTGTAGTTTCGGGAATTCAAGAGAGCGAGGAGAGCGGTGGACAGCATCTCACCTGACATTTCTGTCCTGGCACGCCACAGCGACGTACTTCTGAGTTATATCCACGTCCATGTCATACAAAGTGGTCTTTTCTGCAACGTGGTGAGACCGGGTGAAATTAATTCCACCTCCGACCTGAAGCGAGGAAGCAGAGTCTCTGAAGCAGGGTAGGCATTTTGATCCAGCCGTCTTAAAACTATGGGTAACAAGCTCCCCGCAACTGGACTCCCCAAATGGGCTGGGTGTCAACTGGAAAGCAGCTGACCTATAGAATAAGTCCACGAAGGATATAGGCAGAGTGAAATCTATACACTGCGACTCCCGGAAAGGGAATTGCTATTTTAATACAAAAAGGAGAAAATTAGCAATATTCTGCTAATTATGATCAGAAATTCCAAACAAGCAGAAGCTGTAGGAATAACAAATGCAACCTAGACCATTTCCGTAATGCCCATCCAGATTCCTGGGAGAAGAGCACAGAGAACCCCCAGCAATCTGGGGTCACTGGAGACCCTACCCTGTTGAAGTCCTGCCTGACCAACAGCTGTTTGGATAAATTTGTGCAGGAAAAGTTTTGTTCAACTCCTTAAATCAGACGAAAGTGAACGGCCAACACAACCCCATAGGCCACCAAACTGTGAATCAACAGCTGAATATATTCAATATATTCAATTTTAACTGAATATATTCAATATATTCAATTCAGGCTCAGCCCACTCCAGTCGACTCTATTTTACTCTTTGTCTATTTATCTTTATATCTATTTATATGCTGCTCAAACAGCCCTCCAGCTAAGAATTGTAATTGTTTTTATAATATAATGATAAATAATTCTAAGAACCTTTTGCGCGCTGCGAAAATAAATGCTTTTGTCAGCTCCACAGCTAATCATCTGAATACGGTTATTTCCTATTGGGGGAAAAAAAAGTTTGACGAAGAAAAGAAGGTCAGACAGATTAGCCTTCTCGTGTTCAGGTAATTTATCTGTTATAATAATCTTTTCAGATTTATGCTTCAGCCTCATCCCAGTTTACCCATCCTGGTGTCCTGAAGGAGGACGGAGCTCCAGTTCCTGCGATCCCTAGCCAACATAGTTAGAGAAAGGCTGAAAGATGGTCAGAAGGATTTGCAAACAGACTTTTCACAGGACTCCATACCGAGGGGTCTTAAGCAGCGCTTTCTGGCCAAGTTATTTCCACCAGCTTACCAGTGAACTTGACTGCCGTTATAGCCGAGGAATGGTCGTCCAAGGTCTGCTCCAATTTGTAATTGCTTCCCACGTTCAGGACGTGAATCAGCCGATCTCGACTTGCGGAGGCCAAGAGCGCCAGGCCTGCAAGCAGAGGGGAAAAAACACTTCAGCTGCTGCTGAAAATCCCAAGAATTGCAATGACAGAATTGTTAAGAGGATACCTTAGGCAGCAAGGTGAGTGTTTGTGTTTGTGAGTGTGGGGATGTGGGTGTATGTATGTTATGGGTGGGTCTGCACACACAACACAAACCATGGGGGTCCAACCTTTTGGCCCGGTGGGGCCACATGGAGTGAGGAGGAATTGTCTTGGGCCGCATACAAAATACAGGCAGTCCCTGACTTGCAACAGTGCATTTATTGACCACTCAAGGGTACAAAGGCACTGAAAAAAAAGAGACTTAGGACCATTTTTCACCCTTACAACCGTTGCTGGCCCCTCCGGTCATGTGATCAGGAGTCAGGTGATTGGCAACTGACTCATATTTATGACCGTTGCTGGGTCCCAAGGTGTGACCTTCTGGCAAGCAAAGTCAAGGGGTAAAGCCAGATTCACTTACTAACTTATGACCTGCAGGTATCAGCTGTGGCCAGGAAGGTCATAAAATGGAGCAAACCTCATTTAACAATTGTCTCAATTAACACAAACAGAAATTCTGGGCTCAGTTGGGGCCAAGTCAAGGACTACCTGTACATAATCCAGTAGTCAATGTACGTAGATGACATAACAAGGTTAAAATGTTTACGGTCTGTTGGGGCCGCATCACCAGCCGTGCAGGGTCTCGGGTTAAACCCGCCTGGCTTAAAAAGTACAAAGGTTCAACTGCACAAATTCCCAGATTTAAAAAGCCACCTGTTTCCGGCTTGGAATACTCCAAGCAGAGGACTTCCAAATCGTGGGCCTCAAATTTCATCACTTCCGCCATGAATTTTAGCTCGTGTATCCTGCAAGACAAAAATTTCAAAAACAAATTTTAACGGTCTGAAAGTTAGCTGATTGGAATTCATGCCTGGCATTTCCCAGGACAGGGGTAGGCAACCTTGGCTCTTTTATGACTCGTGGACTTCAACTCCCAGAATTCCTGAGCCAGCATGGGGGAACTATGGCCCCCTTCATGACTTGTGGACTTCAACTCCCAGAATTCCTGAGCCAGCCTGGCTCAGCTTGGAAACTCTCCCTTTCCCCTCAGCATAGTTGTCTCAGGAATTCTGGGAGTTGAAGTCCACCAGTCATCAAAGAGCCAAGGCTGCCTACCCCTGTCCCAGGGAGCAGAATGGGGTGCAGAATCAGCACCTGTCAGAAATTACAAAAAAAAAAAAATCGACCAGCCACACCCGATGGTCAAACTCTGGCAAGGGAGCAAAATCAGTTAAGGGTGCCAGTCAGATTTAATGGCCATCGATTCCCAGGTAACGATCTACAGGCAGTCCTTGACTTACGACAGCTGAGCCCAAAATTCCTGTGGCTAAGCAAGACGGTGGTTAACGGAGTTTTGCCCCATTTTACGACCTTTCTTGCTGCAATTGTTAAATGAATCAGTGCAGTTGTTAAAGTTAGTGACACAGTTGTGAAGCGAATTTGGCTTCCTCATTGATTTTGCTTGTCAGAAGGTTGCAAAAGGAGATCGCCTGACCGCGGGATGCTGCAACCGTCGTAAATACGAGTCAGTTGCCAAGCAGCTGAATTTTGATCACATGACCTTGGGGATGCTGCGATGGTCGTAAGTGTGAAAACTGGTCATATGTCCCTTTTTTCAGCACCATTGTAACTTTGGTCACTACATGAACTATTGCAAGTTGAGGACTGCCTGTACTTGTTGGATGGATTAGTCCATGCCTTGTGAGTGTCGGACTAAAGTTTTATTATCCCAGCATGGATAAAGGGACAGAGAAGGGCTAAGTGGGTACTGCAACAGACAGGCGTCCAGCACGGAAGGAACCAAGCCGATCCAAGACCCACCTCAGATTGCCGGCTCTGTCTCCAGAGGCCAAGTGTTGACCATCAGGGCTGATCTGCATCACTCGGACACCGGATTTGACATCAAGGTAGCCGACGTTGTCATTTCGCTCCAGCAAATTCGTCGAATCTTGCAAATACTGAGTGCTCTTCTCTACATACACAACCTTCAGCAAGTTCTTTAGGGAGGAAACCAGGTATTACGGCACATCAAAAGGAAATTAACAGGAAATTAATTCTCTTCGGCCCTTGAAATACACTCTGCCTTGCCAGTGGAGGGGAAGCCAGCCTACCACCGCCTTGTAAGGAAGACGAGGGACTTACGTCGCTGTAGACGTTCTTCTTGAAAGGTCCACGCGTGTTGTTTTCCAAGTTCCAAAACCGTATAGTGCTGTCTGAGGAACACGTTAGAAAGGATCCTGGGGGCAAACAGCCTTGGTGCTCTTCAAACTCAGGATAAACCTAAGATGGAGCCCACAGCATAAGAGGCAAGCGGGAACATCCACACTGGTGGTCTTTCCATCCCTGCTGACACCGCCCTCCTGGTCACGGAATCAATGGAGGCTGAGCCCTGCAGGCGAGGGAGACCTGCTCAGAGAGCAGATGACCTCCCGTCCAACTCAGAGATTCGCTGGGGAGGCCACCCAGGATCTTAGCGAGTGACTTCCAGGAAGTACTCTGTTCACTGTGTTCCCCCCACTTCCCCACAGAAGTAACCATTCACCTCAATGTTCCAGACAAAGGAGCTGTGGAAAAGATCAGACCACACTTTCCCAACGTGGCCGATGTCCTTCACATCCCAAATGTACACGCTATGATCCTTGTACACACAGGAGAGCCAGTGATGGCGAGGGTCGAAGACAACAGCAATAGCATCTGGATAGGGGGCATCTGGCCTTCTGGAAAACACCAGAAGGTGTTGCTAAGGGGAGGAGGGAGGGGAGGTGCAAAAGAATCCAATGTGCTGGATTGTAACTTCCACAAAAACCTATTAACTCCTCTGGGGGAAAAAGGCCACTGTTTGCAGAAAAATGGGTCTTGCCAAAGTATCAATAACTCTATCTGGTGATTTGTAGCTAGAAAAAAAGCACTGTTTTGGGCAGCCAATATGCTCTAGTGATTAAGGCTCCAGGCTAGAAACTGGGAGACGGTGAGTTCTAATCCCGTCTTAGGCATGGAAGCCAGTTGGGTGACTTTGGGCCAATCGCCAGGAACTGGGAGTTCTAGTCCTGCCTTAGCCATGAAAGCTCGCCAGGTGATTTTGGGCAGGGAAGAAAGCCCAAAGGGGTGGTGCGGGATCTATTGGGTGCCCCTGTATTTTCCAGCTCAGCCTGAGCAGTGCCATACCTCAGGATCGGCTCTGCAGCCACATCGGTGCCCAGGTAGTGCGGCTTGGGCAAATCGGAGAGGTAGTGCAAGTTGTGTGCTTGGAAGAGGCGCACGGTCCCGTTAGCACAGCCGCAGAAAATAAATTCTTCGCTGACACAAATGCAGTTGGCCAGCGTCACCTCGAGGGAAGGGGGGAAATGCACATTAAGGGGGATGCTAAAGGAGCAAGGGTGGAGGAGCAAAAAAAACCAGTCCGCTTACTTTCAAATCGATCCATTTTTCCAGGATGCGCTTCTCGTTAAAGAGGCAAAGCAGCCCGGAGTGGGAAATGCAGAAGGTGCTGCCGGCCATTTTGCCCTGGCCACAGGCCACATCGCAGAAGGTGTTGTTGTGAAGCTCTCCGAGGAGTCCAGAGCGACCCACCAGGGGAACCGTCTCCTTAATCTGCGAGAGGCAGTGATCATCACAGGCTATACAGGTAATCCTCGGCTTACAACCGTTCATTTACTGACCATTCAAGCTTACAACAGCACTGAAAAAAGGAAGCTACGACCGTTTTTCGCACTTACGACCACTGCAGCATTCCCAGACGCTTGGCAACTGGTTCATACTTATGACAGCTGCAGCGTCCCAGAGAGTCATGTGATCTCCTTTGGCGACTTTCTGACAAGCAAGGTCAATGGGGAAGCCAGATTCACTTAACCACCTGTGTCACCCACTTAAGAACTGCAGGGTTTCCCTTAACGATGGTTTCAAGAAAGGTCGTAAAATGGGATAAAACTCACTTAACAAATGTCTTGCTTAGCAACAGACATGTTGGGCTCAGTTGTGGTCGTAAGGCAAGGACTACCTGTAGAGCAGGGCTGGGCCCCTATGGGTCCTTTATGACCTGTGGACTTCAAGTCCAAAAATTCCTGGGAGTTAGACTTCAATTCCCAGAATGCCATGGGGGCTGGCTCAGGAATTCTGGGAGCTGAAGTCCACAGGTGGTAAAAGGGCCAGAGCCGCCCACCTTGAGCTCCACAGTTTTGTCTCTTTAATGGATTTTTAAGGCCACCTGTTCATGCAGGTCTCTGAGCAGGTTAGAGGAGGTAAAAGTCATAATTTTTGAAAACAACTGAAATAAAGCATGTTGGAAGGGAAATATCAGACTAGGACACCACAGCAGCTGCTTAGTGTGGCCATGAATAAATACTTTAAGACAGGTTTTTAAGTTTCTTCCTGAAGGCCATCAAAGTCATCAAGCCGGCCGGGGAATTCTGGGAATTGAAGTCCACAGGTCTTAAAGTTGCCAAGGCTGGACACCATACCTGGTATAAGGTACAGGCTTACCTTAATTTCTCTGGAGCCATCCCAAAACCAGAACTTGACGTGGCGATGCCCAACTGTCACAAAATAGCTGTCCTCTGAGAAGGAGATGGCCATAACTTTGGAAGAGACTTTGTTGGAGGCGATGAGGGTATCGCTCTGTGGGGAATAAACACCACCCAGCAATCGCTGTAAGGTGTGCTCAGGACAGAAATACTCCCTTGACTTACAGCAGTTCATTTAATGACCTTTCAAAGTTACAACGGCACTGGGAAAAGGGACTTATGACCGGTTTTCACACTTAACGACCAATGCAGCATCCCCACGGTCAGATGCCTGGCAACCAGCTCATATTTATGACAGTTACAATGTCCTGAGGTGTCACGCGATCAATCTGGGTGGTGGCCACGTCATCTTCCTTTAACCATGACTGAGTGACCAAGCCATATCGGGGTTCTCGTAACATGCTAAAGCAAAACCCAACCTGTCCTATTGGGATCTTCAGGATGTGAGAACCGTATCCAAGTTCTCCTATCTGTTACATCCGGATTCTTCTGCTGCAGAATCTGTACACAATATCTCAGGGAAGACCCTAGTGAATGGGACCTCCCCATGGACCCTGCAAGAGGGTGTCTTACCTTCCAATCCCACACATTCACTTTCATGTCATGAGGATACCCGACTGACACGAGGTATTTCATATTGGGAGAGAAGGCCACGCAGGCCACGCCGTGCTTGTGGCCATGAAGTTCAGACACTTGGGACTTCTCCTCTACGTCCCAGACTCGGACGGCTGGCTGATGCCCGTTCTGTAGGCAGAAAACCCAGAAGAGAGCCAGTTTACTCTAGTGGTTAAGGCACCAGGCTAGAAAGTGGGAGACGGTGAGTTCTAGTCTTGCCTGGGGCATGAAAGCCAGCTGGGTGACTTTAGGCCAGTCACCAGGGGATGGTGAGTTCTAGTCACAATGAAAGGCGTGATGAAAGGTGACTTTGGGCTAATGGCCAGGAAATGGTGAGTTCCCACCTTAGCCGTGAAACGCAGCTGGGTGACTTTGGGCCAATGGCCAGGAAATAGGGGTTCTAGTCCTGCCTTAGCCATGAAAGCCCCTCTCTCTCAGCCCCACTCACCTCACAGGATTGTTGTTTTGTGGGAAAATAGGAGGAGGAAAACATATTAAGTATATTCACTGCCTTTCATTAGTTATAAAAAATAATAAAAGCAGGATAGCAATAGATTAAGAGAATTAGGAGAGGCCTTTATCTGAGCACCGGTCAACTCAGCCAATGAGCTGCCTTAAAGACTATGCAAAGCCCTTTTTGCTATGACACACACACACATATCAAACTGTTCAGAAAGGAAGAAACAATAAGCCCAAAAAATTAAACCTTGAGAGAAGAAAAGCAAAGGAAATGTAGTTAACTGCAGCTTACATCAGTTCTTTGGTTCTACCACTTCCGTAAAAGGCTTCTTGTGTAGCCTTTTGCTCTTGTTTCTCAGAGTGGCCCATTCGCTCTTTCCTCGTGTAATTGTTTTCATGAATTGATTCTCACTCATTCTCTTTACCGGCCTACCTCAATGTACTTCTTTCCAACTGGCCATTCACTTTTGTATCCAGGCTACATTCATGCTTAAGCAAGCTCTTCCTGTTTTATCACAAAAGCTTCAAAAATACACACTCCCACTGGGGGCAGTCCTGCATGGTTTATAATAAGGGCCTTATGGTACAGGACATGGGGGGGGGGACAGCAAACTCAGCTGACGAGCCCAACAGAATGAAGAGTTGATAAATAGACCGGTTCTTTGCAACACCCTGTTTTTGGACTTTCTATTTTTCTTTTTATCATTTTTACTTTGTGTTGTTTTTTTATCTTTTTAATTGTACTATCTAAGAAAAGAGTTACTCACCTCTCCAGTGGCAACGTATTTCCCATCAGGAGAGAAACACAAAGCACTCACAGTTTTCCTTAAAAAGAGAGAAAACATTAATTTCTTTCTTTCTTTAAAAGAATGAATACTAGTAGAATACATCTACTAAGGTAGTCCTCAACTTACAACAACAATTGAGCCTAAAATTTCCATTGCTAAGCAAGACAGCTTCGGGAAGGATGAAATAAAAATTGGCTTACCTGGCTGTATTAACGATGTGCCTTTGCTTGTTCTTCTGAGGATTGAAAATCACAACCACACATCTGAGGGAAAGATGAAAATGTTGACATGGGAGAAAGTTTTCCAGGATTCAAAAGGGGAGGGAAAATTTGAGGACCCCTCGCAGGTGAAAGCTCATCAGTGTCGCAGTTCTTTTGCTTTCAAAATACACTAAATCACAGTCTAAGAGTGAACCAGGATAAGCCTCTGGCCTTGAGCAAGAACCTGGAAAACTCTTTTAAATAGTATAGGATAACAGTTAAATTATGCTTTGTCTGAACAAACTATCAATAAAGGCAATAAAGTGTGGTTTGTGATATGGGCCCGTTTAAATGAAACCACAATGAACATTAAACACACGCATTCTATTAAAAATGGAAAGAACTGCTTCCAAATAGCTTTCAGAGCTGCAGGAGAAAATGACAGACAATACACAAGCCTGCCGTTTACCAGGTGTGTTCTCGGGATAAACTATGGAAAAATATTAAGGTTAATAGTGGATAACTTCCTTGCAAATAGCACTAAAGATGCTATCTAGTTTAGATAGTGAAAAGGATTTTGTAACCCTCCAGAGTCTTCTGGAGTGGGCAGCTATAACCAAATCTAATAAACTGGGTTAAATGAAAAGCTGCATCTCTCCCTTGCCATTCCAGCAATAGACCACTATGTCAGCCCGACTCTCAGAAAAAATTCACTGTCCCCACAGCATTTGGCATAAACTTTGGTTTAAGGGGCCATGATATCAAGGCATTTCCTACCCCTGAAGCTTTGGAAACAGGTTTGCCCTCCACCTCGTCTGCCTTTAAGCTTGCTGGATTTGTGTAGTACTTTCTATGGTGCACCTGAGTGTTTCAACCTGTGGCAGCAAAGGACTTACCCTGTTGGATAGGCGATGTGTCCCGAGTTTGGGTCACAACTTAAGCCATTGCTGGTCTGAGCAGTTATTCCCAACACGCGCTCGAGGGTCACCTGCCGGAAAGCAGACAAGACATTGGAGCACCTACCAATCCAATTTACAATCCTTGTAAACACATGCCAGGCACTTCCATTTTTTTAAAATAATATTTTATCCCAAGCACTTCCATTTTGATACAATCCTGGGGATACTGCAACGGTCGTAAGGGCGAGGGCTGCTCATAAGTCATTTTTTTCAGGGCTAACTTTGTGTTTCTATATTTTTTATTAATTTTTTTGCACAAACATAAGTCACAATAGTTGGTAAACAGTGTGATGTCTGGGTTACATTTGTAAAAACAATCCTTAACAATTAATTTCTATAGTCTGTATTTCATATATTAATTTTGTTTACTTTCCTCTTTCCCTGAAACATCCTTTTTTTGCAAACATTACGTTAATATAATTCTTATTGTTTTAATAGGTGACAATTTGGTATATATTTTTTTCCAATATTCCTAAAAAATAATCATCATATTAATGCATTCTTTTCTTTCCATTCATTTAAATTGATTTCACGGCTAACTTTGAATGGTTGATAAACCAAGATTGGTAAGTTAGGCCGGGCGTCCCCAAACTTAGCAACTTTTAAGACTTTTAAGACTTGTGGACTTCAACTCCCAGAATTCCCCAGCCAGAGCAAGGGATTGGACTAGAAGACCTCCAAGGTCCCTTCCAGCTCTATTCTGATTGACAGACCCCCCCCCCCCAAAAAACGAGACACAACCTAGAAGAGTGCCACAGGATGCTTTCCTGGGTTACGCCCACTCTCTAACTCCGCCCACTACGTCACCCCGCCCTAGGCTTCTCCCTTTCACCCCTCCCCGGCATTCTGAATCCGCCCATCTCTGCGGCCCCACCCCTCCTTGGCTTGGCCCCGCCCCTCACCGCCTCCTCCGGCCCTTGCTGTTTCGACCTTCGCCTCAGGCTGAGGAGAGGCGGCGACTCGAGGTTCGGGTTCGTTGTTCGCGGGTAGAAGCAGCCGCCTCCTGCTCCCGCTCCTCCTCCGCCGGCCATCATCCTTACCGAGCCCGATTGCTTGCCAACCGGCGGTTTTCACCCACCCCCCCCCACACCGCGGCTCGGCGCCCCGTAACCGTCCCAAACAGCGCGCGGAAACGATGCTGCTCCGTGGTTGGCCGGGGCCGCGTCAATCAATCCCGGACGCGGCCAATGGGAGGCAGGCTTTGCGACCAACGACCTGCCTCCAAATCAGAAGCCGGGCGCGCGCCACCGCTTTACTTTGGACCAATCAGATGGCGCCGTCGCAGCCGCCGCCCTTCTAGCGTAATTTCGCGGGTTCGAATCTGGTCGGACCGGCCCAAATCTCGAATATTTCGTTCCTTTGTCTTTTTTCAAGGTTTTCACATGCCAGCCAACTCCATTAAATCCCACTTGTTCCATCTATCTATCTAATCTGAGAGATAGATATATATGCGCCTCTTTCCTTTTCCTATCTCTATGGCCAGCGGCGTCGGCCTCCGCCCGGCGAGCAAAGGCGTCACGGGCTCGCTCTGCGCAGGAGCAAGCGTGCGGGGGGCGTGGCGGCGCGGGGGGCGTGGCGCGTGACGTCAGCCGTCAACAAACGAACTCGGGGTTCCGGAGGCGCCGCCACGATGACCAAGTATTGCCGGGCGCCGCGATGCTCCAACTCGGCCGGGCAGCCGCGGCGGGACCAGCGTCGGCTCAGCTTCTACAAGTCAGCGCGCTTCCCGGAAGGAGAGGGCGGGGCGGGGTGGGGGGTCTGCTTGGGACGCCCCCTGGGTCCACCCGCCTCGGGCCAGGCGGCGGGGCCAGACTGGGGCTGGGGTGGGCATAGGGGGGAGAGGAAGCCCCCTCCCCATCTTGGCCTGACACACAAACACACCGGGCAGGGCTTCCCTCCCCGCCCAGAGTCCCTGGACTACAACTCCCACGTGGCGTGGAGGAATGGACTTTGTAGTCCGGCCCAGCTGGGGTGGGGGCTTTCGGGGGAGGTTGCCTGAAGGGGGCCAGGAAACCCTCTCCTGGGGGGGGGCAAGAGACAGCCTCTCTAGGAGAAATAGAGACCCCTCCCCAGGAGGGATAGAGAGAGACCCCCCCTCCCAGGAGTGGGACAGGAGACCCCTGTGGTTGGCCTTTTTGGGGTCCAGAGCCGCTCTTAATGGGGAGGGGGTGAACAGATCTTTGTTGCTGTTGCTTCTTATGGGAAAGGGTTTTTTTAAGCAAGAGCCCCCTCCTCATTTTACTCCACCTGGAAGGGGAGAGGGGGTCTCTAGGGCTGAATGGGGGCTTGAATCTGGGGCTCCCCAGCAGCCCCATTAATAGGTGTAGTGTTTAAGATACCAGCCTAGAAAACGGGAGACTGTGAATTCTAGTTCCGCCTTTGGCACGAAAGCCGGCTGGGTGGCTTTGGACCAGTCTGTCCTACCTCACAGCGCTGTTGTAGTGGGGAAAATAGGAGGAAGAAGGTGTGATGGATACCTTCAACAACTTGAGTTATTTTTAAAAATAAGAAAGGCAGGATACAAAGAAATGAAGTCTACGTTGCCTGGATCGGCATTGGGGTTTTCAGAAATGGTGGAAATTATCTGGCAGATTCTCAAAAAGTAACGTTGACTTGTGCTGACTTCATGGATGTGTCGCCATGGACCTCTGGGCAAAAAGGAGAATTGGTTGGTGTTTGCTTTCTTTCTCAAGACTGTGGTTTTTGGTCTGGCAGATGCAACAGGGGGTCTTCAAACTTGGCCCTTTTATGACTTGTGGACTTCAACTCCCAGAATTCCTCAGCCGGGCACCCCTGAGTTAGACTGTAACACAAACCCAAATACCTAACTTCATGTACAAGCTGTGAGTTTGGAATTTCTCTGATAACACCAGACTGGCTAGCAGAAACAGGCTAGCCTGTTTTAATATTAAAGTGTCATCATTTTTGACAATAAATTTAATAAATAATACCATCTCCTCTGACGTAAGCCACGATATGTTTTTATGGGGCCAAATTATACAGCGTTCCAAAATGGACAGAGCTTTTAACTGCACGTCCTCCTTCCGACCTGTCTTTTATCTGAAGCTTTACAAAGAATGGAAGGAGGTTCCCGGTAAACGAGATAAGGGTGTTGGCAGAGAAGCAAGGAATGCAAACGGCAGAATGCACCCTTGTTTCAAGGGCCTCTGTTTATATTTAATTATGTATCATTAATCCTGATCGTTGTTTTCCGTTCCCCTACAGGTTTCCCTTACACAGTCCTGAGCGTCTCCGGCAATGGCTCTCTCAAATGAACCAAGAAAAGTGGGTCCCAACCAAACACCAACACTTGTGCAGCGATCATTTTGCCCCTTCCTGCTTTGAGTACCGGTGGGGAGTTCGCTACCTGAAGCCCGATGCTGTTCCCACCATCTTCCAGACGTCGGACAGCCCACTGGTGAGGATCCCGTTGCTTTTGCTCCGTGGGATGAGAAGGGCCTGTCAGAGAACAGCAGGGTGGACAGGAAATGAGACTATTTAAGTCTCTCTTTGTAAAGTTAGAGCTCTGCTAAGCCGGCTGGGGAATTCTGGGAGTTGAAGTCCACAAGTCTTAAAGTTGATTAGATTGAGAAATCTAATCTAGGTGATCTTTCTGGTCCCTTCCCTTCGTGACTGGCTGGGGAATTCTAAGAGTTCAAGTTTTAAAGTCACCAAGTTTGGACACCCCTGTGTTAAAAGAAGAACCAGCAAACCGGTGCTGGTGTCTTCCCATAATATATATATATATACTAAGTGCAAGGGATGTATGTTTCTATAATGTATTATTTGTTTATATGCTGCCCATCTCACTGTTACAGTAACTGTGGGTGATCTATAGAAGAAAAGTAAAAACATGATAAAAAACATTTACAAGTAGACGAAATACGAGGCCAAAGAGGAAGAACATTTTATTTCTTTATTCCCCTGTGCCTCATTCTGAAACCTCGGAGTTCTTATTCACACAATCCGATTCCAGTGACTGTGTGCCAGAGACTACGTGTCAGAGAATAATATTGTTTCATGCTACTATTTGGCCCCAGACCGAGTTGGCTGTACATATGTTCAGGTTTATCTCTGCTTGGGAAAGATAAATATCAGGGTTTTGTAGGTGTAGGGGTGTGTGTGTGTGTTTGCTGATAGGGCTTTGATTTCTGAAAAGGCCCCTGGTGGCCACAGCTGAATGTTCCGGCCCTGTAGCAGGTTGGACTTAGATCCAGGAGTAAACAACTATTGTCAGGTGACTTTAAGTGCAGTTTAATTAGCTCTGGAGAGAATCAGGTTGAGAAACAGGTATGTGCCACGTGAGGCCGGGAACTTGTTTGGGATAAAAGGCCTGGAATTTGCGTCAGGCTCCCAAACCTGAGATATTAAGAGATCAAAGAGTTCTCCTGCCCTCAGATGCTTTGAATAGGTCAACTCCCTCTTCTCTGCAACAGCCCTTCAAGTAACGGACCATGGTGATCCTGTCGTCCCTAATCTTCCTCCTCCTCCTCAGTAGGCTGGTCATGCAGGCAGTCCTCAACTTACAGGGATTTGTTTAGTGACCGAGGTGACAATGGCACTGAAAAAAGGGACTTTTTCACACTTACAACCGTCGCAGCATCCCCAGGGTCATGTGGTCAGAATTCAGACGCTTGGCAACTGATTCATATTTACGACCGTTGCATAGTGTCCCAGGGCCGTGTGGTCTCCTTTTGCGACCTTCTGACAAGCAAAGTCAATGAGGGGGGGGGGGAAAGCCAAATTCACTTAACTGCCGTGTGACTAACTTTAAGAACTGCACCAATTCATTGAACAACTGCAGCAAGGTCATGAAATGGGGCAAAACTCACTTAACAGCTGTCTAACTCAAAAAATGGAAACGTGGGGTTCGGTTGTGGTCGTTCCTCTAGCCAGTTCCCGCAACGGTTCATGGTACAATTTAGCCTCCAGTCCCCTCATCCTCTTTGTTGTTCTTCTCTTCTTGCACTCTTCCTGGGGTTTCAGGCTTTTTCCTGTATCGTGGCAACCAAAACCGGAGGCAGGATTCCCAGTGTGGCCTCCCTAGGGCCGTGGGAAGAGCAAAGTTAATCCCGCTAAGGGTTTGTCTCATCCTTTCTTCCACTGATTAAATTGGAGGGGTGGGGTGGGGGTCCCTGGTGCTCTCCGAGCTCGGTGGCTTTCTTGCAGACGTTTCATGAGCCAAACTAGGTAACAGCATCAATGCTAGAAGGGGGGAGGGGTTGCTGATGATGTTTCCTAGCTGGGTCATGAAACGTCTGCGGGAAAACCACTGAGCTTAAAAAGCACCCAAAACCCCACAATCCTCCTCCTCCCATTACTTCTCTCTCTCTCTCTCTCTCTCTCTCTCTCTCTCTCTCTCTCTCTCTCTCTCTCTCTCTCTCTCTCTCTCTCTCTCACCCTCCCTCCCTCCCCCTTCTAGCACTGATGTTTGGGTCATGAAACATCTAAGAAAAACTCCAAGCTCAAAGAGATCCAGGGACCCCACAGTCGTCCTCCTCCTCCTCCAAACCCCATTTCCTTCTATCACTGAAGACGTTACCTAGTTGGGTCCTGAAAGGTTTGCAGGAAAACAGCCCAGCTCAGAGAGCACCAAGGACCCCCTCATTTCAACCCCAAGCCACAAATATCCTCCTCTATTGGTAAATTGGAGAAGGCTGCATTTGGTCGTTGACGGGTGGCCCTTTTTGTTTCAGAAGAGGGAGAGTCCTGACAAACCGCCTTCAAACTCATCAGCCAAGAAGCTGGCTCTCGATTGTGATGGAGAGGGGGGCACCCCAGCTGCCCAGACCCCGACCTGCCAGGAGCCTAACACCATGGAGACCCTCGCCATAGCCATAGACCCCAGCGTGGCTGCCACGCCAGTCTACCTGGAGACCCAGTCTTCGGCTCCCACCTTGGACTTCCAGACCCTCTCTGGACCCCTGGTCGGAGCGGTGAACCTGCTTCCTCTGGTCCAAATTGTGGAGCCCCTCAAAGCCGTCACCCTGGCGGTGGCTTCCCCCACGCCAGCCGTGGCGGGCCAAGCTTTGCAGGAGCCCCTGGAGCAGCAGGTGGTGGACTTCGTGGCCTCCCTGCCCCCTGCCTCCCTGGGAGCCTTGCCCAGCTCTTCTCTAGGGCTGCCTGGGCAACTGTGTGCCGAAGTGGCCTTGCCCTGCGAACTGGTGGCAGCGGGCGACCAGCCCTCGCTCCAGGCCCTGATGGCCGAGCCGGCAGCGGTGGCCGAGCAGGGGGCTCTGGTGATTGAGAACATCTCCATTGAGCCGTTCCTGGACGGCAGCCCCTCCGTGGCCGTCCCCATCCTGAGCCCCCTGCAAGGGTCCACTGCCACCGAGATGGTGGCCTATTTCGAGACCATCCCCACCGCCCCCGTGGCCGCTGCGGCCTCTTCCGGGGTGACGCCCCCCGAGACGGTCTTGTCCTCGGCCCTCAGCCTGCCCATCGTCTCCACCCTGCCCATCGTCTCCAACCAGGCCCCCCTGGAGGGCGAGGAGCTGAAGCTGGACGAGGGGAGCTCTGCCGAGTCTTCGGAGGAGCAACTGGAGGAGCACGGCTACCACCGGAACGAGGGGACGACGGCGGAGCTGGTGGAGGTGGTGATGGGGCTGCAGAAGAAGGTGAAGGTGCTGCAGCAGAGGCACCGGCGGCACTGCGCCAAGCTGGACGCCATGAAGAGCATGGTGGAGCAGCTCTGGAAGGAGAACTTGGCGTCGGAGGAGAAACTGAAGCTCCTGGAGGTGGTGAGTGGCACAAGGATCGACATTACAGGGAGTCCTCGACTTCCAACAGTTTGTTTAGTGACCATTCGACGTGACAACAGCACTGAAAAAGGTAACTTACGACCCTGTTTCATACTTAAGGCCGTTGCAGCATCCCCAGGGTCACGTGATCAGAATTCGGACGCTTGGCGATTGACTCATATTTATGACGGTCGCCATGTCCCAGGAATCACGTCATCCCCTTTTGCGACCTTCTGACAAGCAATGTCAGTGGGGAAGCCCGATTCACTTAACAACCGTGTGACTCATTTAACGACTACAGGGATTCACTTAGCAACAGTGACAAGGAAGGTGGTAAAATGGGGCCGAACTCACTTAACAAGTGTCTCGCTTAGCAGTGGAAGCATCCCAAGGGAAGACTGCGAAGAGCAGGCTCCGTTACCGTCGTAACTCTAGGACGACCTGTATTTCAAGATCTTGGGGCACAGTGAGCCACACTGGTTAAGGACGCTGTGACCGTCGTAAGCGTGAACCAATTGCCAAGAGTCTGAATTTTGATCACGGGAATGTTGCAATGGTCAAAAGTGTGAAAAACAGCCCTAAGTGACTTTTTTCAGTGCCGTTGTGACTTAGAAGGAATTGTTGTAAGTCAAGGACCACCGGGACTTCAACGGTCTCGCCATGGGGGACACGACCTTTTCAGCCCCATCTGGACACAGCAAAGGCTGCGGAATCCTATCCGACTGGCCAAAGGCTGCCCAGGTATCCTTAACCCTTTCTCTTCCCTTCCCTCCCCAGGCCTGCCTGCAGTCCAGCACCTTTGCGCCAGAGAGCGGCGGCGCAGTGGCCATCATCTGCCAGGAGAGAGAGCAGGCCTTGGTCTACGCCGTGCCTCAGCTCCCCAGCGAAGGCAGCGAGACCATCCTCCGGTTGGAAGAGCAGTGAGCCGGGACTGAAGGGGGGTGGGGGGCAGCTGAGAACAGGCCTTTCTGCACCTGGTTGCCCCCTCAGTCCTCCCCAGGGGGTGACCAGAGCTTGCCCCCCCCCGGAGCCTCCGGGAACCCCGGCCCAGCTAAGCAGAGCCTCTGCTGAGTGGGCTGCTTCTCCGTGGCCTTATTGCATCAGCACCTTCTGGTTTCTCTCTGGGGCTACTTGAGATCATTATATATGCTGAACTTTCAGCCCTAATCCTTCTCGGGCCTCCCAGGCTGCTAATTTGCATTCGCCCCGGCTGGTGTGGCCGTGGCCCAGGGTGATGGGAATTGTAGTGCAAAAGGGAAGCCTTAACCACCGTTCCTCCTCCCCTGCTTGTAATTCTCGCCAGTGTTACCGGACCAGCCAGCTTCGTCTCAGTGGCCAAGAAGTGTCCTATCCATTTTCGGAGGTCTAGAACGTTCTGTCTGTTGGTGCTTTGTTTTTTTTTTTGAAAGCTTCAGATTCGGTGTTTGCAAGGTGTTTTTCTTCCTGGAGGGGCTGTTGGCCTCTCCAGATCTCTACACTGATTCAAACTAGGTGGGAAAGATGATTCTGGGCTGCTGATCCCAACTGAGCCTTTTATGCAGAGCTTACAATCTGATGGGTTATTATGATTATTATTAAGGGGTTGAATGGAACCTGGAGAGGACAGTGAGTGAGTGTAGGAAACACAGTAAGGAGAGAGGAGAGACTCTTTTAAGGGGTCACGAAGGGAAGTGTGGAAAAGATTGACACATGACAACAATTGACAATAGGCCCCGTGAAATTGGAAACGTACGTGTGTTTTGCAGCCACGAAACCAGCTGGAGTTGTGCGTGCCCGCCTTCTTCAACCTGGCACTCTTAACTTGCTTTAGAGTAAATCTCAGAATCCCAAGATGGGGCTTTTTGTGAATTGTAGTTCAAAAGCATCTGGAGAAACCACCAAGCTGGACGTGAAATTTTCAATAGACAAGATTTAAGAACAATTCGAAGAGCGTTTAGACTTCTTTCTGCTTTTCCTTGTGTCCAATTCCTGTAATTGTCCTGAAGGCCAAAATGTCTTGCCAGCTGGCTGCCAAATAGGATCCCGAGTGAGTTTTGATCATAGATCCTTTCATTGGTTAAATCTTCATTTTAAAAAAAAATAAAATACACTGGCTTCTGTGATTAACCCATGCGTTGGAGGAAAGATTTAATTAAAGATTTTACAAAGGCATGCCCGTCTTCCCCAGCCTGGCGGCTTTCAGATATGTTGGGTCTAAAATTCCCAGCCAAGATAGCCAAAGGAACTCTGGGAGTTGTAGTCCACCCCACCTGGAGGTTGCCCGCTGGGGAAGGCCAGGGTAAATCTTGAGAGAATTGAGCAGGGATGATCTTTTTTTGCATGTGCTGTGTGTTTATACAGGTCTGTAATTTAAACAAACGAATAAAGGGAATCTATCAGAAAATATTTTGCATGGCTTTGATTACATCAGGAGGAGGGAAGCCATGGATCCAGGTGTGTCTACAGTCTTTCAAAAGTTAAGACAGCGATCTTGGGACTCAGGTTCCCATCTTGATTTTTTAAAACTTCCCCCGTGAAAACCCTGGCAGGATCTATAGCTCCCCACCATACACACTAAACACAATGGAGTGCCTTCAAGTGGGTCAGTGCTTCTCCGCTTAAAGAAGCGTGGACTTCAGCTCCCAGGATTCCCCAGCCAGCATTCTAATGAATTTTTAAGATAGGTGCACTTCAGCTTCCAGAATTCCCCAAAATTCTGTCTTCAAGTGTACTAGCATGCTTTAAGATGAGTGGACTTCAACTCTCAAAATTCCCCAGCCAATATGCCAGTAAACGTAAAAGAGATGTGGACTCCAACTCCCATGCTCACTGGGGATTTCTGGAAGTCTACGCCTGTTGAAGTTGCTGAAGTTGAGAAACATAATGAAGTGGATAATGGGTTATGGTGCTGTCCCAGCGTGGAACTGTTTGGAAACCAGCCAATTCCACATTAGGCTGACTAGCCAAGGAACCAAAAGAAAATTGCAATGATTTACCTCACCCCTTACATAAATCTATGGTGTGATCACACTTAGTTATATTTTGCATATATCTGCTCACCCCCCCCAACCCAGAGTGAAGTTAAGAGCTGGAAAAGTTGCAGACGAAGCAGATCTGGGGGGGGGGGAATGGAGATTTTAAGGCTGGAAGGCAGCCAGACAGTGAGTTGTGGCATATAAAATTAGGCAGGATGAGATTTATTTTCCCAGAAGGAGATGGCAATTCTTCTGTGCTGTTGGAAACCACATTCCTCCAGACTATGGATATCCCAATTTGGTTTGCGTTCCTGGAATTTTCAACTGGCTGAGGTTTTTGAGATCATTTATACGGGCCCAGTGGATGGTTCTTTGCTTAGCTGCCTTCCAACAGATCGCTGTCATGCGGTGTTTCTTCTGGAAAATTCTGGGGGGAAAGTGGGTTTGGTGTTGTGTTCTGAAGGGGCTGGCCAATCATCAGGAGATGGTGAGTTCTAGTGTGCCTTAGCCATGAAAGCCGGCTAGGTGACTTTGGGCCAATCACCAGGAGACGGGGAGTTCTAGTCCCGCCTTAGGCAACTGGTTGGGTGACTTTTGCTCAATCCCCAAAAGACAGTGAGTTCTAGTCTCACCTTAGGCACGAAAGCCAGCTGGGTGACTTTGGGCCAGTCACTCATTCTCAGCCCAGCCCACCTCACAGGGTTGTTGTGAGCAAAAGGGAAGGAGGAAGGAAGAGTAGGTACGTTGGCTTGTAGAATAATAAAAGCTGGATAAACATCTAATCATCAAACGGATCAAAGGTCTTTTCAGTGAAACTGCCGCACTGGGGAAAAACGGTCAGAAGTCCCTTTTTTTCCAGTGCCATTGTAGTTTTGAACCATCACTAAACAGACCGTCGTAAGTCGGAGAACTACCTGAATGGCCATTGGCCTCCTCTTTGGAGAGAGGTCTGCCAGCTCTCTGGCGGGAAGGTGCCCAGCTGGGGGCCCCCAACTTCTCAGCCCCAAGGGAGGGAGGGGGTGCAGCTGGGATTTCTGGCCGTCTTTTTTTTCCGGAGAGACCCCCAACCCCCCCCCGAGAGACCCCCAACCCCCCCCCGGGAGTGGACGGAGGGTCCCGGCTCAGCAGCCTCCTGCCCCTCGCCAGCCCTTCCCCGGGCCTGCGTCCCCCCGGATCCCCGCAGCGACGACCCTCCGGAGGCGGGGGCGGCGCGGGGGCTGCAGAGGCGGGCCAGGGGGCGGCTTCGGCTGCTGATGCCGCGGCCGATGATGCTGCGGGCGGCGCATGAGCGCTGCCATCACCGCCTCCTCCTCCTCCTCCATTCCGCGCTGCGCCCGCCGAGCCCAGCCGAGGGTCGCCTCGCCGCCGCCGCTGCATTCTCCGCCCGGTAGGTGGGCGCGCTGCCTCCCGGCCGCCGAGCCCGAGGAGCCCTTCCCGGAGGATGAGCGACCCCCCCCCCGGCCGTTCCTCCCCGCAGCGGAGATGCTCCTGCGGGCCCCGTCCTGGCGCGTCGCAGCCCGCAGCATCCCTGCTCCTGGTCCTACCCCCCCCACTCCCGCCCTCCCCGCCGCTCCTTCCGACCGCTCTTCGGCCTCCCCCCCCCGCCGTAGCCCCCGGCCTGGCCCTGCGAAGCGCCCCCGCCGCCCCTTCCCACCCCCGCTGGACCGGGATGCTCCGTCTGCCCGTCCCGCTCCTGCATCCCAGGGTGGGAAGGATGGTGCCCTCTCCTCCCCCTTCATCACCCCCCCCCCCGCCCTCCATCAAATGCTGGGAATTCTGCCTTGGCCTCTTAGGGGAAGTTCTCCCCCCTCCCACCCCACCCCAATTTGGGGGCTGGAGCATCGTTGGGCTCCCCCCGTCCCTCCCTCCCCGCAAGGACAAAAAAGGCTAGCCAGGTTAAGGCGGGGGGGGGAGGGTCTCTCTGGGCTAAAGACAGCCCCTGGAGGGAGCAGGACTCCATTTCGGAGTACTACCTCTCCCATCGTCCTCAGCTGGTGTTGCTATTGTCCTGGCTGCTAGGAATTCTGGGAGCCGAAGTCCCAGCCGGTCTGGAAAGTGCCAGATTGAGGATGTAAATATGCATGCATGATGCCCGCTTTGCTGCGATTGAGGATGGGAGCATTTTTGAAAGGGAAACACCCCCCCCCCCATTTCTCCTGCGAAGGTGCCAGGATTTTACCTGTTCTCAAAAGGGTTTTGTTTCGTTTCGTTTCACCGATTTGGTTTGATTTGAATTATTATTTTATTTTAATTTATTATTTTTTATTTTATATTTTATTTCATGTCATATTATTTTAGTTTATACTATTTTATTTTGTTTCATTTTTTATTTTATTCCCCCCCCCTTTCTCTTTTATGGAAAAAAGAGGCATATCTCTTTGCAAAAAAACAAACGAACCCACTAAGTACAAACCCCAGGAGGTCTCAAGACCCAAGACTGGAGTCCTGCATTGCATGGGAATTTCACAGACAGGGCAGCACCCCTCTCTCAATCCGCAAAACAGAGCCAGCTACCCATCTGGAAGACACCCAGAGACACAGAAATACACATACACAAATCCACACACCCAAGCAATCTCTGCATTGTTGAGAGCCCAGCTCTGACACACATACAGGATTGCCAGGCCTCGTATTGATCGCCTCCATCTCATGGGCCTCTCGGAAGGGAGAGTGTGTGAGTGTGGGTTTTGTACAGGAAGGAAGAGTGTGTGAGTGCGGGTGTTGTACATCATCCATTCTTAAGGCATTCCCAAAGAAAGCTTGGGAATAGCAGCCCTGCCAGAATCTGCTCCCCATTAAATGGATCCTAGAGTCCCTTTATGGAGCTTTAATGCTTAGCGAGATCACCTCTGTTTCGGGGATGGTGCACGTGGGAATCGGAATCCAGCCAGATTTCCAGAAGAGTCCACGTGTGGTAGTGTGGATTGCGAAGAGGTGACAAATGGTGTGACTCTCTTGAAGCGGAATGGTGCTGTTGGTTAAAGGAAGCTGGCAGGAGAAAAAAAAACTCTTTTTAGTGTGTGTTCAATTCTCAGTCATTTTAAATGGAGAGCAGTGCATTTTCAACCCGGGTAACTTGAAGAGTGGTGGACTTCAATTCCCAGAATTCCCCATACAAAATCACAGTAGTTCTCCAGCTTTAGTAGCCTCTTTCGTGGAGCTGTGGTTGCTGTGTGGACTTCAGCTCCTAGAATTCCCCAGCCAGCAATGAATGCTGGGAGTTGTAGTCCATAAATTTTCCAGTTCATTAGCATGCTGACTGGGGAATTCTGGGAGTTGAAGTCCCCACATGCTAAACTCAGTTGGCACAGTAGTAAAGTGGACTTGACCATAAATCCTACTTGAATAGAATATTGCAGCTTTGGCAAGCTCACTCCTAACAAGAGCCTTTTAGACAGGTGATTTTGGCTGGTTTGTTCACTCTAGGACGCCAAATACCATTTGTTTTGTATTGGTTTAGTGCCATGTGCGAACCAAGCCATAAAGCTGACCATGGTTTACAGCTTAATTTATTACAGGAACCCGGCTAATTATGGCTTAGTCAATGAAGCATAATTAAGCAAGCTGTGGCTTAACCCAAAGCATAAAAATGTTTTATGGTTTGATTTGAGATAAAAAGGGGTTTTTTTGCAAAGCTTGCTCAGGATTGAGAGTACCTTGACTTCTGTAATTTCTTAAGAATGGCCAGCTATTATATTCATATTCATGTCTTCCGGATTTTATATAATTATTTTATATCACTGTTTTTGTGAGGTTATAAGGTGCCCAGAGTCCCTCACCAGTGAGATGGGCAGCGTGTAAATTTAACAAACGTACAAATTTAATAAGTACATTCAATCAGGAATAACCAAGAGGTTATCCACAAGGAAAACCTGAGCTTACGCGCTTAAATCTTTCTATGTTCTCAATTTTTGGAGAGTTACTCCCTCTCTTTGTAATCCTTAAACTTGTCTCATGGGTGGCAAGACAGTCAGCTTGATTGAGTGGTTAAGGCCCCAGCCAGAAACCAGGCGATGGTGAGTTGTAGTCCTGCCTTAGGCCCAAAAGCCAGCTGGGTGACTGTGGGCCAGTCACCAGGAGACGGTGAGTTCTAGTCCCATCTTAGCTATGAAAGCCAGCTGGGTGACTTGGGCCAATCTAGTGAGTTCTAGTCCCATTTTAGGCATGAAAGCTGGCTGAGTGACTTTGGGCCAATCCCCTCTCTCTCAGCCCAACCCACCTCACAGGGTTGTCGTTATGTGGAAAATAGGAGGAGGAAGGAATATTAGGCATGTTCACCACCTGGAGTTATGTATAAAGATAATCAAGATGGGACTAAAATAAATTAATCCATAGCAGGCCTGAGTTTCCAATTCCTTTGCTGTCACCTGGCTGACCGATTTCTCTTCTCCTGCTGGACCTTGAACAGAGAAAAGAGCTTCCCGCTGCCATGACCAAAGACGACTCCGCCGAGCTCCCTTCCGAGGAAGACCACCAGGCGCTGGAATTCCAGAGCCCAATCCTGGAGAGGAGGAAGAAGCCCATCGTCCACCCTTCAGCCCCAGCTCCGCTCCCCAAAGATTATGGTGAGCTGTTTCCTTCCCATCCTGTTCTTCTTCAGCCTTATCCTTCCCTGGATGGCTTTTCTCCTTGACCAGCTGACCGGGATTCTGGGTCAAATCCTGGGGTGGTTGTTTTTTTTTTAATGGTGGAGCCCAGACAAGGAGGACATTGTGCATCGCAGCGCATAAAAGAGACAGCCAGGAAAGGGGTGTGAGAGAGGCAAAATGGGGTTCGGATTAAGAGAAAAAGGCTTTCTGTCAGGGAAATAAAAATTGCACCAGGTCACAAATATGAACTGATAGCCTGTCAATATAAATTATGCAGACAATGTTATTTTCCAGCTTCCCCGCGTTGATTTTGCTTGTTGGAAGCTGCCTGGGAAGGTAACAAATGATGATCACATGACCCAGTGCAACCATGTCAGTTGCCAGGTGCCCACAGTTTGATCATATGACCGTGGGGATGCTGCAATGGTCATTAAGTTTGAAAACTGGCCATAAGTGACTTTTTTCACTGACTTTCAGTGACTTTCTCAATTGCGGTCATAAATTAAGGACTTACTTGTCTGATATCTGAAGTAAGGATATCTGTCAGGGGTGGCTGGGGAATTCTGGGAGTTGAAGTCCACAAGCCTTAAAGTGGCCAAAGTTGGAGACCCCCTCTTTAACCAATGGCCCACCCATCTGAAGTTTGAAACCAACTGTGGGGTGAAATCCTTTCCCCCTCCCCCCTCCTTCCCTGCAGCTTTCACTTTCTTTGATCCCAACGATCCTGCTTGCCAAGAAATCCTTTACGATCCCATCACTACCGTCCCGGAGCTGTTCGCCATCATCCGCCAATGGGTTCCCCAGGTGCAGCACAAGATCGACATGATCGGCAATGAGGTGAGCGGGCAAGGGCAGACCCCCGGGGGTGGCCGAGGGTTAAGAGGTGAAGGCACCAGGTTAGAAACCAGGAGACCGTGAGTTGTAGTCCCACTTTAGGCACGAAAGCCATTTGGGAGACGTTCGACCAATCAGCAGGAAATGTTGAGTTCTAGTCTCTCCTTAAGCAGGAAAACCAGCTGGGTGACTTTGCAACAATCACTAGGTGACAGTGAGTTCTAGTCCTGTCTTCGGTGTGAAAGGTGGCTAAGTGACTCTGGGCCAATTACCAGGAGGCTGGGAGTTATAATCCCACTTTAGGTATGAAAGCCATCTGGATGATTTGGGGACAATCACCAGGAGACGGTGAGTTCTAGTCCCACCTTCAGCATGAAAGACGGCTGGGTGACTTTGAGCCAATCATCAGGAAACTGGGAGTTCTGGTCCTGCCTTAGATATGAAAGCTGAATTTGCTTAATCATGATTTGCTTAATGACCATGATCCAAATGGTCATGAAATTGATCCTGTCTCATCATGACTTGCTTAGTGACCAAATTGCAGACCCAATTGTGGTCATACGTTGAGGACTACTGATAGCCTCTTTCTTGCTCGTCTGTCCTCTTCAGATCCTGAAGCGTGGCTGCCACGTCGATGACCGGGATGGGCTGACAGATATGACTCTCCTGCATTACGCATGTAAAGCTGGTGCACACGGCGTGGGTAAGGCAGAAAAATGAAATGGATATGTATTTATTTACTTATTAAATTTATTTGCCAGCCATCTTGACCCCTGAGGTGACTCTGGACGGTTTACAATATTAAAAGCTATGAAACTAGAAAAAATGCATGTTTCTTAAGGCTGGTCCAGTTTTGCATTGTGCTTTAAGCACAGACTGGTGCTGAGTTGCCCAAAAAACACAGTCTGAATTTTCTGAGCCCCTTCTTGACAAACCTCTTCCTTTCTTATAAAATTTTGATTACCATGACTGTGTGTCCATTATTTGAGAAAGCCGTCCTTTATTAGAATATGCATTTTTGTATATTTTTTCCTGGTTTCCTTGGCACTTGAATTTTCCTTTACCAAGCAAAATTATATATTTTTTAAAATCCTTCTTGTTGCCTCTATTTTTTTCCAAGAAAAAAGAGGCATTGTAGGTTAAATTAGAATATAGTTCTCTGGAAAGAATAAAGCACCACTCCTAAAGTACTTGCTAACAATTCTTTTTACTTCCCTTCCCTTTTCACTTCCCTTTTTACTTCCCATTTTACTTCCTGTTTTATTTTTATTTTATTATTTTTATATTTTATTTTTTAGTTTAATTTAATTATTGTATTGATTTATGTGCTCCCCCTCTCACTTAGAGTTGACTTATGGGGTCAGTTTCCTTTAGGGAGGCTTTTGATACAGCTCACCTGTGCTTCTGCTCATCCCAGGTGATCCCGCTGCCGCCGTGCGCCTCTCTAACCAGCTGCTGGCCCTGGACGCAGATGTGACACTACGCAGCCGCTGGACCAACATGAACGCGCTCCATTACGCGGCCTACTTTGACGTCCCCGAACTCATCCGCATCCTCCTCAAGGCCTCCAAGCCCAAAGGTGTGTTTGCACGAAGGAGGTCGGACATGTTGCCCAGGTGGAGGGAGGCCAAAATGACCTGGCACTTTTGCTGTCCATCGCCATTTTTAAGTCAACCAATTAATGGCTCAAGACGGTGTTTGGCAACCCTGGGAATTTAAAGAGGGGTGGACTTCAACTTCCAGAATTCCCCACCCCTCTTCAAGTTCAATAGCAGGCTGGCTAGGGAATTCTGGGAGCTGAAGTCCACCCATTTTCAAGTCCTCCAGCATGCTAGCATGATTGCTTGTGTCTGCTGAAGAGCTTCATGGAGAGGCCTTTCCAGTTAGAGAAACCGAACGTGGGACCTAAAGAGGTAGGCCACCTTGGCTCTTTTATGACTCGTGAACTTCAACTCCCAGAATTCCTAAGCCATCATGGCTCAGCTTGGAAACCTCTCCCTTTCCTCTCAGCATGGCTAGCTCAGGAATTCTGGGAGTTGAAGTCCACAAGTCATGAGGGGGCCATAATTCCTCCATGTTGGCTCAGGAATTCTGGGAGTTGAAGTCCACGAGTCATGAAGGGGCCATAGTTCCCCCATGCTGGCTCAGGAATTCTGGGAGTTGAAGTCCACAAGTCCTAAAGGGGCCATAATTCACCCATGCTGGCTCAGGAATTCTGGGAGTTGAAGTCCACCAGTCATACAAGAGCCAAGGTTGCCTACCCCTAGCACTGGGCCTTCCTTCCCTCCAAGGCCGGGGGCTGTACAGAGCCTAGTATTGTGCAAATGCATCCTAAACTAATTCAGAATCCCGACTGAGTCCGTACTGCTTTTTTCCCCCTGAAGTTCTCAACTCGACATGCAGTGATTTTAACCATGGAACCGCCTTACACATCGCTGCTTCGAATCTCTGCTTGGGGGCCGTGAAGTGTCTTCTGGAACATGGGGCCAACCCCGCTGTCAGGGTGAGAAAAAAAAGGGGGGCACAGATAACGGGCAGATGGGTCTTTGACCGAGAATAAGAAAGACCCCCATTCTCATGGAACATTGATCCAATGCCTTCACAATATTCTTTATTATTATTATTATTACTCAATGCAATTAGATCTTCTGTTAGATGTGATTCGTTTGTTTTTAATGCATGTCGGGGACTTTTGACCGACCCCTCTCTAGACAGCTGCCAGAGGAACCAGACACCGATTGAGGCTCACATACAAAATGTGTCAAACCAGAGGCAAAAATTAGATTTTGAAGATGCCGTAAAAATAGCCCAGCCTGTTAATCAGGAGACTGGGTGTAGGTGAGCACCTCCAGCGACACTGCTGTAAGTGACATTAGCGGAAAGAAAAAGGTTGTCAACACAATGCAAAAAATGTTGAGACCCTTAAAAAAAGAGTGCAGAGAAGAACAACAAAGATGATCGTGGGGGGGCTGGAGGCGAAAACATAGGAGAGTCAGTTGCAGGAATTGGGTATATCTGTTCTAATGACGAGAAGGACTAGGGTGTGACATGGTAGCAGTGTTCCAGTATTTGAGGGGCTGTCACAAAGAAGAGTGGTGTGTGTGTGTGTGTGTCGAGCTATTCTCCAAAGCACCCGAAGGCAGAACAAGAAGCAACAGATTGAAACTAATCAAGGAAGGAAGCAACCGAGAACTAAGGGGTAATTTCCTGACAGTGAGAACAATCAACCGTTGGAACAGCTTCCCTCCAGAAGTTGTGGATGCTCCATCCCTGGAGGTTTTTAAGAAGAGATTGGACAGCCATTTGTCTGAATTGATATAGGGTGTCCTGCCTGAGCAGGGGGTTGGACTAGATGACCTCCAAGGTGCCATGTGACTCTGATATTCTGTTATTTTTCGTTGGAAGCACCCAGCTTTCCTTGGGGTTTCATTGAGACCCCCTTTAACTTTATGAAGGAGGCCTTTAGTGCCATCGGTGGAAAGAGCCCGCATTGTCCGTGGGTGGGAGAAACCGCATTGTCCCCCCTCTCTCTCTTTCTCTCAACAGAATAGCAAAGGGCAGGTCCCGGCTGACGTCGTGCCAGATCCCATGGACATGACCCTGGACAAGGCCGAGGCTGCCATGATCGCCAAGGAGCTGAAGCAGCTGCTGCTGGATGCCGTGCCTTTGACTTGCAGCCTGCCCAAGGTCACCTTACCCAACTACGACAATATTCCTGGGAACCTCATGCTCCTCTCTCTTGGCCTTAAGCTGGGTGACCGGGTCCTGGTGGACGGGCAGAAGGTAAGGAAGGCACAGCTGCACAAGGACCTGGGAGAGGAGAGGGTTCTCCCCCCCCCCGGGTCTCTCTCAGGCTCATCAGAACGGCCTGTTTTTTTCATCTGCCTAAGGATGGGGAACCCCGTCGTGGAGGTCGTCAGCCCTTTGAGGGAGTCTGATATGGCAGCAATTGCAGAATTGCTCTCTCAGTGTTGCAGGATAGGATTACCGAATCCTGGAAGCCAGCCAGATTTTCCCCTCTTATACCAAAGAGAATGAAGGCAGGACGGTCTTGAGTTTCTTCCTCACTTTTCCCCCCTTTCCAGGGACAGAATTATATTTACTCTTAACAGTTCCTGTGTACCTTCTTCAGGGCTCTGTCTGCGTTAATCTACAGATGTGTAGCCAAAGATAACCAAAGATTGGATTTGGTAGGAGGAAGGAAGGAAGGAAGGAAGGAAGGAAGGAAGGAAGGAAGGAAGGAAGGAAGGAAGGAAGGAAGGAAGGAAGGAAGGAAGGAAGGAACGTCTGTGTGCAGACCAAGAACATAGCCACTTCTGCAGCACCCCTGAAAATGTGGGATCCTTTCAGACTGTATAGGGACTTAATATGTTCTACCCCTAGAACAGCTATCCAAGATGGTTTGCAATCTATATAACTCTTGGGGCCGGGCTACACATTATACTGCCATCCAAATATTCACCTGTGCCAGTCAGCCACCTATGCCAGCCGCTGTTTCCCCATCTGGATCAGCCTTGTTGAATTAGGTTTTTCGAGGGATCCTTAGCATCCCGTTAGATTCCCAGCTCAGATTACATGTGTTTCCAGCCAGGTGATGTGCAGGTAATTTCCTGTTCTCCACGTGCAATTTGACCCCATCGTGTTTGGCTGCAGGTGGGCACCTTGCGTTTCTGTGGCACCACCGAGTTTGCCAGTGGCCAGTGGGTCGGCGTGGAGCTGGATACGCCGGAGGGCAAGAATGACGGCAGCGTGGGCGGCATCCGCTACTTCATTTGCCCTCCGAAGCATGGTGAGTTTTGGCAGAGGTAGGACTTCAACCCACCGTTTGAAGTTAACGACAGCACTGAAAAAAGTGACTTACAAACGGTTCTCACACTTATGAACGCTGCAGCATCCCCACGGCCACATATCTATCTGTCTGTCTGTCTGTCTGTCTATCTATCTATCTATCTATCTATCTATCTATCTATCTATCTATCTATCTATCTTCCCTATCCTATCTTTCTATCTGTCTGTCTATCTATCTATCTATCTATCTATCTATCTATCTATCTATCTATCTATCTATCCTATCTTTCTATCTATCTATATCTATCTATCTATCTATCTTCTCTATCCTATCTATCTATCTATCTATCTATCTATCTATCTATCTATCTATCTATCTATCTATCTATCTATCTATCTTCCCTATCCTATCTTTCTATCTGTCTGTCTATCTGTCTGTCTATCTATCTATCTTTCTATCTATCTATCTATCTATCTATCTATCTATCTATCATCTACATTTATCATGCTTCTTAAACTCCCATCTCCCTTAACAACTGCCTTGTTTAGTGGATGATCATGGTGGAATTACAGCCTGCGTCATTAACCAGGGCTGCCTTTTTCTTCTTTCTTGCTTTCCCAGGACTGTTCGCTTCAGTGTCCAAGATCTCCAAAGCTGCTGACCAAATACCGTCGGTCACCTCCACCCCACGGACCCCCCGCATGGATTTTTCCCGCATGACAGCCAAAGGGCGCAAGGAGAAGGACAAAGACCGGAAAGGTAGCTTGGGGATCTCTTTGGAAAGGGGGCTGCAGAAGGGGCCCCTGGTGGCTGGCAGGCCCCAGAGGGGGGCTTCTTCTCTCAGCTTTGACTCAATTGTTCAGGTCTTGGAGGGTGGCTGCTGGGGGAGGGGGGATACCAGCACCAGACATCCAAGTTGAACTGTGGGGTCCTTAGTGCTCTCTGAGCTTGGTTGTTTGCTTGCAGACGTTTCATGACCCAACTAGGTAACATCATCAGTGCTGGTAAATGTGGGGGAACCCCTCCTCTGCAGCAGCCAGCACTTAGATAAGCAGGGATTAACATCAGACAAACAATCAAGCAAAAAACAATACTCTAATCAAGGCACTACCAAGGAGAAAACAACACCCACTAAGACTGGCAGAGAAGACAACTCTATATAAATGGGGTGCAAACTCCCTCCTCCCTCACTCGGATGAAGTTACCTAGTTGGGCAAGGAAATGTCTGCACAGAAACAACCAACTTCAGAGAGCACCAAGGACCCCACAGTTGTCCTCCCCCTCCTCCTCCTCCATCCTTCCTCTTCTCCTTCTCTTCCACTCTGCAAACTCCTTCCCCTTCTAATACTGGTGATGTTACCTAGTTGGTTAATGAAACGTCTGCAAGCAAACCCCCACCGAGGGCTCTAAAGTCTTGGAATCCTACATGGGGGGGGGTCACCCAAAATTTGTCCCCCTTATTCCTCTCCCTTCTCCGCCCAGCGCTCAGAAAGAAATCCTTATCCGTGGGCAGCCTGGACCGCGAAGGACTGAAGATCGACATTGGAGATCAGGTGCTGGTGGCTGGACAGAAGCAAGGGGTCATTCGTTTCTACGGGAAGACCGATTTTGCTCCAGGTAAGGCCGACAAGGTAGAGGTTGGATGGGAAGACCCTGCCCAAGGGTGGGAATGAAGTCGGGGGGGGGAGCTAAGATATGGCATCTCAACCGTTTGCGACCTTTATCAGGATTCATGGACGGTACGACATAAGTCACAACTAGTGCAAATATTGAGATAATGTTTACATTGCTCTCTGTTGTCCGTCTCTCTTCTTTTAGGCTACTGGTTTGGAATTGAGCTGGACAAACCGACAGGGAAGCACGACGGCTCTGTTTTTGGGGTTCGCTACTTCACCTGCGCCCCTAAGCATGGCGTTTTTGCCCCCCCGTCCAGGGTCCAGAGGTAGGTTGGCTGTTTAGGTGCTGGGAATGAGGCTTCCTTGGATTGTATAGCATCCTAGGGCTGGAAGGGATCTTGGAGGTCTTCTAGTCCAACCCCATGCTCTGTGCCAGGAGTATCCAACCTTGGCCCCTTGAAGACCCGTGAACTTCAACTCCCAGAATTCCCCGGTTTGCCACGTGACCATGGGGATGCTGCGATGGTCATAATCGCAAGAAGCCACAAGTTGCTTTTTTCAGTGCTATTGTAACTTCAAATGGTCACTAAGCTAATGAATGTAAATTGAGGGCTCCCTGTTATCTTTGTTCTTAAGTGAATTGCAACTCTCTCTCCCTCCCTCCCTCCCTCTCTCTCTCTCTCTCTCTTTCTCTCTCTCTCTTGCAGAATTGGAGGCCCCAAGGACTCTCAAGATGCCACTTCAGGAAAGAAGGTGCACCAAGTGACCAGTAGGTATAGCCCGGACTTCCCTTCGACACTATTTGGGGGAAAGGAAGGGCTGTGGGAAAGCGACATGGAGGGAATTTGCTGAGAACTCACCACGGCTCGGTTTCTGGCAAGCATCCATGTGCCTCTGCTGATTTCCACATGAAGTTTGGACTGTAGTACTGGTGATATAGAATACAATACTTTATTTAGCCAAGTGAGATTAGACATACAAGGAATTTGTCTCCGGTGCAGAAACTCTCAGTGTACATGCAAAACAACAAAGTAATAATAATCATATATCAAAGTCATAATAATGATACCAATAAGAGAACATGGTGGAAGAGGTGAGAAGGGTAAAAGTAATACAGCTATACTACATGGGTAAATATGCTTGGGCATAAGTCCTGTTGCACAGGCTAAGTAACATGAGCTTTCTTGTGCTCTAAATTTGCCTTTTTCAAATGTGTTGCTAATAATTTGCCAAAAGCCTTAACCTTCAGGAAAAAACTCTCTTTTAGTAACCAGGACTGGTAGAAAAATATTCGGTATATTCTACATAAAAGTTTCAAAGGCAGGAAAACCCATGCTAGCTAGCCAGTGCAACGGTACTACAAAAACCATACTCCAAGTATTATCAAGTCCATAATGTAAGGTCCTCGACGTCTTCTCCTCCAGGAGCAAAGATCCAGGAGCCGAGGGGCATCGAACGGGCTCCTTTCCCAGTTTAAGAAAAATAACGGCGTTTCCCCCTCTCTTGCAGTTTCACAGCCGAAGCGCAATTTCACCACAGTCAGATCTCCGAAAGACATCACGTCAGAAAATTCCATCTCTAGGTAAGAGCGACTGGGATCTGGCCATCTTCGAAGCCCCCCGGATCCCTGGCTGGGGAATTCTGGGAGTTGAAGTCCACCCATCTTAAAGTGCCCAAGGGGGGGGGAGGAACATGGTTGTAAATCCATGCCTCTAGCAACAGGCCATGTGGAGGGTGGAAAATGATTCAAGAGCCCCTGAAAGAAGAAGGCCACCCCCCCTCTTGAGTTTCTAGGTCCTTCCACAGGTGATTCACTCTTGGGTGGTTGAATTTCATTCCACAAACTTGCCTCAGCATCCTTATTGTTGAGTAGTGGGTTGGGTCTTCTTCTTCGTGCGATGCTCCTGTTGACCTCAATCGTCATCTAAGCCACCAAGAATTCCTTCACCCCTTTGAGGTGTCCTCCATGGACCAGGTAGACCTTCCCCAAGGGTCTTCAGAAGATCCATGCCCTTCTTTCCCACCATCCCGGAGGCCAATCACACACCACGCTTCCTGTTCTCTCCCACAGGATCCTCTTCTGTTGCTGGTTCCCGTGGATGCTGCGTGCGGAAATGCAGCCGTAGAGTTCTCGCCCCCCCCCCAGCACCCACTCTTCCTCCTCTTCCTCCGCTCTTTCTTCGCTCTCCACGTAATCAAAGACTGCTCTTCGGATCTGTCGCTCACCTCTCCTGCTCCCCACCTCCATCACCATTCTAGTGAACCCAGTGCCTTGCTAGATCACCTGAGCACCCCAGTAGATTGTGAGAAACGCTAAACCCCTCCTGTTTGCTCCCCACTTTCTGAGCTGTGGCACCACCGGTCTCTTCTAGCACTTCTTTTGAGGATCTGGCAACGGCCATTAGAATCATTTTTCTATTGGGGGGGCAGGGGGGAGGACGTCCCTTCAGTTATGCTTGGGAGACACGTCTCTGAGCTTTCCGGCAGTCAGGAAATCCATAGTCCAGTTCTGAGGTCTTCACCATGAAAAAGCACATTGCAAATCCACTTGGCTTCCTTGGACAACCGTTTGTCTGGGGTGGAGTAAGACCTCCTGCCTTGGGCGGGGGGTTGGACTAGAAGACCTCTGAGGTCCCGTCCAGCCCTAGGATACTACGATTCTAAAATTGAGTCTGCAGCTAAGGGACAACAGTCTCCCCTAGTTTGCAGTTGACCCAGCCCTTTGAGTGACAGACATAGGAAACTGGCACTCTTGTTTCTAAAGTTGCTGGCTGGGGGATTCTGGGAGTGGAAGTCCGCGTACATTTTTCAAGTTGCCGAGCTTGAAAAACACCACCTTGGGCCAATGTGGGCCACAAATGCTCCATTGAGGAGGGCTGTGGTCAAGAATCACTCTGCTTGGTCGACCAGTTAGGATCCGAGTCCCAAGCAGACAGCTTGTTGAACATCAAGCTAAGATTCTCTCCAGAATCATGGCTTGTTCTTCCATGCAAATGCAGCCTTAACTAAAATTCCTCGGCGTTTCCCTTTTTCTCCTAAGCAGTTTTTATCTTATCATCAACCAATTTCAAAAGCCAGATGCTTCTCCTCTGCCAAAGAGCAAATCTCTGCTCATTTTGGTGACTTAATCTTAAGTGTGCCCATGAATGCAGATTTAAACACGGCTTTAAATCATCTGCCCATTTTGTGACTAACGTGTGAGCAGGATGGGTGCCGAGTGCGAATGCCTTTGCCCACCGATACCCTAAGTAGCCTCTCTCATTAGCCATCTTCCTTTCTAGCTGAAACCTCCCTCTTTGGGTTACCGATGCAACAAGACACCTTAAAGAAAACCTAGTGTGAGTTAAGCAGCCGGTGCTTAGCTTATGTCTGTGCAAATTAACATACAGGGAGGGGTGAACCGCCCAATAGCATCCTCTGATGGTGTGTAGTGTTTGCGTGTCTCTCTGTGTGTAAGTACAATACCAGAAGTCTGTTCTCTGTTGTTTTTTTTAAAGCAAAAGGCAGGGGAAGACGTTATAAGTGAATTTGATCTTAACCTTGCATTTATCAGCTGCACAGCATTAGATCTTAATCCAGAGTTTTTCCCCAGGCTGAGGAATTCTGGGAGTTGAAGTCCTCCCATTTTCAAGTGACCCAGTTTGAAAACCACCAATCTTAATCCATTTTAGTAACATTTCAGCCTTTCACAGATAGCTTCCTGTCTTAGTTGAACCAAACGTAGTTTCCACTGACTTTGGGGAGGGCAAAAGGGTCTTATCTTATCTAAGCCTGAGTGCTGAGCCTGGCTTGTGGGTGTGAAGGGTGTGAACTCCCAATGTGAACTCAGAAAGCAGAAACGAAAACAGCAAAACTTTATGGTGCTGATGGTGGAATCATTCTCTATGGAGAAACGTCAACGTTTCTCTGCTCGCCCTTGACTCGTGTCAACGTTCTTCTGTCATCTGCATGGAAGCTGAGCCTGAAGTCTAGAATTTTCTCCTGGCTTGGGAGGCAGGTCCCTCCCCTCCACCTGGCCTTGAGCAAAAGCTTGCCTGGCTGTCCCAAATTCCTTTTCCTTATCATCTTTGTCAACCCAGAAGAGAGAGAACCGTCTGCTCATTGATTAGGGATGGAGGTCAAGGTTGTCACTTTAAGACCCTGTGTGCCTTCAACCTCTGTGCTGTTTGTGCAGAAATCCAGTAAGGTTGGGCTTTGTGGGGACAGGTATCCAGGGACAAGCACCAGAAGGAAGGACAAGAAGCAGCAAATGGAAATTAATCAAGGAGAGAAGCAACCTAGAACTGAGGAGAAATTTCCTGACAGTGGAGAACAATTAACCAGTGGGGCGGCTTGCCTCCAGAAGTGGGTGCTCCATCACTGGAGATTTTTTAGAAGAGATTGGACAGCCATTTGTCTGGATAGGGGTGTCCAACTTTGGCAAATTTGTGGCCTTATGGCTAGCTGGGGGACTCTGGGAGTTGAAATCCACAGGTCTTAAAGTTACTGAGATGGGACACCCTGGCACAGAGTCTCCTGCTTGAGCAGGTTAGGCTAGAGGACCTCTCTGGTCCCTTCCAGCCGTAGGATTCTATGTTTTATGAATGCCCCTTGCATGGTAAAATATATGATAAACGGTTGCAGGAACCTAGCCTAACAAAGAGAAGGAGTAGGGATGATATGGTAGCAGTCTTCCAGTATCTGAGGGTCTGCCACAGAGAAGAGGGGGTCAGCCTATTCTCCATAGCAGCCGAAGGCAGGACAAGAAGCAATGGATGGAAACCAATCAAGGAGAGAAGCAACCTGGAACTAAGGAGGAATTTCTTGACAGTGAGATCAATCAATCAGTGGAACAGCTTGCCACCAGAAGTCTGGGTGCTCCAACACTGGAGGCTGTTAAGAAGAGTCTGGACAGCCATTTGTCCAGAATGGTATAGGTTTCCTGCTTGAACAGAGGGTTGGACTAGAAGACCTCCAAGGTCCCTTCCAACTCTTGTTATTCCAGTCTTGTGGCATAGCTGCTAAAAGGCCACAATATTCCATTTGGGAAAATGGGGTGAACATCAGAAGGGGAGATGGTGTGGGCATCTATTTTTGGACTGATTTTAAAAAATAAAAAAGGGAGGGTGGCATTCAGGCCACGAGAAGGAACCCCAAGCTTGGTGAAACATTGGGGACCTTTATGTACAGATATATAAAATGATATTTTAAAAAAAACCCAAATGGCTACATCGAAGCTTCCGCTCCATTTCATCCCACATCTTTCCCGCGGTCATTGTTGCATTGTGTTGTGGTCCTTGCGCCCCCCCCCCAGTTTAGACCCATGTTTCATTCTCATCGAAGTTCGAACCAGCCTTGTGTAAACTGGCCCCCCCTAATGAGTTGGGATGACTATTTCCAACATTGCTGGGAAAAAAAAAATAATTTAAATTTCCAGATGCCAGATTATAGAAAACTGCTGGAAACATTTCACTTCATTTGTCTACTTAGTTTTCTGTCACCTTGACTAGCAATAAATAAACCTTTGGTTGACTTCAGTTTGATATCGGGCACAATCTTGGTGTGTCCCCCCCCTTCTCAATGGAGGGTAGCCCCCTGCCCTTGAATTATCCACCAGGACTGGCCTAATCCTCAAAGGCACAGACCAGCCTCGAGAGCAACGTGATGGCTCTTCACAACCTTTCTTTCCGTAGAGATCACACGGGATTGTGTTCTTCCTGCCTAGATGTCTTTCTTTTTTTTTAATTTTTCAAAGAGAAATAACTTTGTAAACCGTCATGTGAGACAGCCTGCCGTGCCCTCTGCTAAGCTCCCCGTGGAATCTTGCATGGTTTCTGTCTTCCCTGAACCCTCCTTGCTCATCCAGGTTCTCTGGAAGGAAAGCAAAAAAAAAAGTGAGCATGACGAAACTCAGTATGTTATTGCTTATCTGTTATTAACAAATTAATAAAAGGTGTTTCTATGTGCACTGTGTCCAGGACTCTTCCTTTCCGCTCTTTCTCAGGGGATTAGGACATTTAAGATGCATAAGGAATTTTGCAGGTAAAAGCCCAGCTTGGAACAACCGCATAGCCTATAAAGAAACACTGGATATGTCTAGCCTACAAAGAGAAGGACTAGGGGGGGGGGACATGATAGCCGTCTTCCAATATCCGAGGGGCTGCCACAAAGAAGAGGGGGGGGTCCACCTATTCTCCAAAGGACCCGAGGGCTGGACAAGAAGTAACAGATTGAAACTAATCAAGGAAGGAAACAACTGAAAACTAAGGACAAATTTCCTGACAGTGAGAACAATTAACCGGTGGAACTCCTTGCCACCAGTAGTTGTGGGTGCTTCATTACTGGAAGTTTTTAAGAAGAGACTGGACAGCCATTTGTCTGAAATGGTTATAGGGTCTCCTGCCTGTATCAGGAGGTTGGACTAGAAGACCTCCAAGGTCCCAAGGTAATTTGGAGGAGGGGGGCAAATATTATCCCACTCCTTGAAATGCTTCTGATCTAATATTCATTTCACGTATGTGTGTGTGTGTGCGTGTGTGCGTGCGTGTGAGAGAGTGTTAGTTCAACTCCCAGAATGCCGAGCGACCTTGATTTTTTTTTTTTTTCCTAACTCTGGATGCGGATTGGTACTTTCCGCCGCAGAAAGGCGGGCCCGGCAAAGCTCATGTTTTTATTGGGCGAGCCGGCTGCCGCTCCAGGAACTACCCGGAAGAAAGGCGGTGTGCATGGGCCTGTAAGTGGCTCCCGGGACGGAGGGGGCTCAGTCTCCAGGCAGGGGGGTCTCCCGAAGCCCCCCCTTCCGCCTGTTAATCTACCCCTTAACCCCCTTTTCACAGGGGCCCTTGGAGCTGCCCTGCAGGCAGAAATTCAGCAGGTGCTGTCTAAGCTAGCCCGCCCCTCCTCGCCCCCTCCGCCGAAGGACCAGTCAGGATGCAATTTGGGGGGGGGGAGCCGTAGCTCAGGGCAAGGTTGTAATGAGCCCCCCCCCGTTCTCCCCCGTTGTCTTTCCGCAGGTGAGAAGCGGAGGTTCACCTGCCCTGGCCAGGTTGGAGAAGAAACCGAGGAAGCTCCGGATGGCCAGCAATGGTCCCGAGAGGCCGCAGGTGTGGGCGATGGAGCCCTTCCGCGTAGCCCAAGTATGTTCCCAGGGAAGGTGGCTTTGGACTGGATGAAGGCAGCATTTATTTATTTCTTTATAGCCCATCTGTATTATCAATCAGTCAGAGTAGAGCTGGGGGGGGGACCCTGAAGGTCTTCTAGTCCAGCCCCCTGCTCAGGCAGGAAACCCTATCGGATGCAGGGGTAGGCAACCTCGGCTCTTTCATGACTCGTGGACTTCAACTCCCAGAATTCCTGAGCCAGCCATGCTGAGGGGAAAGGGAGAGGTTTCCAAGCTGAGCCATGCTGGCCCAGGAATTCTGGGAGTTGAAGTCCACCAGTCATGAAGGGCCCATAATTCCACCATGCTGGCTGAGGAATTCTGGGAGTTGAAGTCCACCAGTCATAAAAGGGCCAAGTTTGAAGACCTCTGGTTTAAATATTTAAATATTTTTCCTCACGGTCACATGATCAAAATTCAGGCATTTGGGCAGGGGTAGGCAACCTTGCTCTTTTAGGACTGGTGGACTTCAACTCCCAGAATTCCTGAACCAGCCATGCTGAGGGGAAAGGGAGAGGTTTCCAAGCTGAGCCAGGCTGGCTCAGGAATTCTGGGAGTTGAAGTCCACGAGTCATGAAGGGGCCAAAGTTTCCCTCATGCTGGCTCAGGAATTCTGGGAGTTGAAATCCACCAGTCATGAAGGAGCCAAGGGGGCCTGCCCCTTCCCTATCTCATTTCAGACAAATAGTTGTCCAGTCTCTTCTTAAAAACTTCCAGTGTTGAGCATTCACAACTTCTGGTGGCAGTTTGTTCCACTGATTAACTGTTCTCACTGTCAGGAAATTCCTCCTTAATCCCAGGTTGCTTCTCTCCTTTGTTAGTTTCCCTCCATTGCTTCTTGGCCTGCCTTGAGATGCTTTGGAGAATAATTTGACTCCCTCTTCTTTTGGGCAGCCCGTCAAATACTGGAAGACTGCTATCAGGTCACCCCTAGTCCTCCTTCTCACTAGACTAGACGAGGCATCCCCCTCCCGCATTTGGGCCCCTCAGCCAACTGGCCGTGCAGCGGGGTCAGCAGAGGCCAGGAAGAAGCTGGGCAATTTTTACAAATTTTTACAAATAGCGCAGCAAACATGCCTAATACACCATCCTCCTCCTTCCCCCCCCCCACAACGGGGGTCTTCAAACTTGGCAACTTTAAGACTTGTGGACTTCAAGTCCCAGAATTCCACAAGCCTTAAAAGTTGCCAAGTTTGAAGACCCCTGCCTCACAATAATCCTGTCAGGTGGGCTGGGCTGAGAGACCAGAGAGAGAGAGAGAGAGACTGACTGAAAGTCATCCAGCCAGCTTTCGTGTCTAAGGCAGGACTAGAACTCGCTGTCTCCTGATGTTTGGGC